TCGGGTATCAGCCCAACGTATTTGAGAAGCTAGTGTTCCAAGGCTCGGGTTGATGACGATGGGCGTCGTGATGGCGGATTGGCTGCCCGGGACAGGTAACCGGCACCTGCGAGTGTCTTCGTACCAAGGTGAGAGCAATTGGCCAGTGACCGTCCGCGACGATGCTGCTCGGCGTGGAGAGAGCGGCCTCGATGCTGGCTCGAAGCTGGAACGAGAGCCGTGATTGGGCCCTTGAGAGGCTGAGGTGAGGTGTTGTGCAGCGCGGCCTGCCCGTCGCTGGAGCTCACTAAGTGAATGCGGGCTAACTGGGCCCGGAGGGCAACCTGCTTGGAGGGCGCTAGAAACAGCACGCTGTAGCCAGTGAGAGGCGGCGGGAGACGGTGGGATTGTCAGGGACCGGGGGCACACGTTCGGGCTGCGTTCCGCGGGCGAGTGCTGGCTATTCCTATTCTTAGCGCTGGATTCTTTTCATTGGCCGCTGTCCGGCGCAGCGCTTTCTTCTCACCTCCACTTGTCAAATCCCAATGTCGACCACCAGATCTTGCAGATGGCTTCTTCTACCGGGAAGATGTGTCGAGAGCCGGCCCCGACGGTGATGAGTGGCAAGGCGGTGTCGGATTCCCGTTGGTCGAAGGGGTTTCCGAGGCTAGCGGTGGCAGGGCAAACACACACGAGGCCTTGCTCCGGATATCTCGATGACCGGAATGAGGTGGATGGCGATGATGCGTTTGGGCAAAGAGGAAGCAGAGAGAGAAAACTCTGGTGGTGCCGTCAGGTCACGGTGTCGTCAGACTCGTGATCGTTGTGGGGCCGCAAGACGAGAAAACGAGAAGCCGAGAAGGTGATGCCGCGTCACAGGATCCGTAGGTGCAACTGGACACAGCTGAACAAGGAATGGAACCTGGCAAGGGAAAAAGATGGCAGGATGCAGGGAAATGGAGAAGAGCCAAGATGGAAGCCACGCGGATCGTGTAAGGGGAGGGGTAAGCTGCCTGCCGTGATGGGATTGTTGGAAGAAGGTGGAATTGATGGAAGGAAAGCGCTGGGGGCGGTGACTGCGCTTTTGGGGTCCGGTGTGATGGTGATGACTCTGGAAGGTGCTGATCATGAGCTTCACCTTCCTCACCAACACCGCCGGGCTTTTCACCATTTATCCATCATCTACGTTTGTTTACATTTTCCAACATCGACATATTTTGAGTTCAACTTTAACGCCTGCTCTATTTTCAAAGCTCTGCCCCATCCTGACCTTCATCTTCCTGCTTCACTCCGCGCGCGGCACCGCTCTGCGTCTCGACTTCGATGCTTCGTCGTTCAATTTGAGCCTATCTTTTCTCTTGCTTGAAGCGCTCTCCATCCAAAACGGCCCTCGATCATGTCCACCAGCCACCTGGCCAGGCAATGGCGAGTACGAGAGCGCGCGCCATGTGATGCACACCAGCCATTGGACCCGGCCGAACAAGCCTATACGAAAGCACCCGTTGGCCGTCGACGACTCGGAGAATTCCCTCCCCATGCAACACAAATCTGGCCCCCAGGGAAGAAAAAATACTACCCCCGGCTATCTTGCCTGCCTGGCTCCGATACACCGCAGCTCCAGGCTCCGTCCTCCGGACTCAACAGCGCGCGCCTGTCTGTGCGAGGTTGGGCCGCCGGCCGGGTCTCGAAAGACCCTCCCGCCTGCTCCCGCGTCAACTTTGTCTTGGAATTTGGAAACAGATGACGAGCATTGGACTCAGGCTTCCCGAGACGTTTCCCCCAGTCATTCATCAGAGCCGCCTGCCATCTGCCGACGCTTTACAGTCTCTTTTCTTTTCTCCTCCGAGGGGCCAGATCCTACGCCTGTCAATAAGCGCTGCCCAACTTGACTACCAAAACCCGCCATTCGTTCGTCAATGGCTGCGCAATCCTTCGCGTCTGTTCCCCTGCGACCGCTCTGCAATCCCATTCGCCAGCCTTCGCGCATCGTCTCTGGTCCAAGACAAGTTTCTTTTCCCAAGTTTGCTATGGCTTAGCTTGGTAGCATGCAGCTACACTTTTCTCGTCAACAGGCTACCAGCTGCGGCAGGGCAGAATTCTGCTCGTGTTGGTCCAACGCAGACGGTGTGTTGGGGAAATCCTGCCGTTGGAACGTGAGGGGGCCGCACCGGCGACGTGGGCATCGCGATATGGCTGAATCCTTTGTGCAAAGAGACCAATGACCATTGCGAGCTCATCGTTCACTGTGCCTGAATCCTTTCCGTCCGTTCAAATCGCGAGTCTGTGAAGGATCGCGCTTAAGAATGCTATGCAAGATCCTGACAAGCGACTAGACAGCCTGGTTCTGAAGGGTTGAGGAGACGCCCCTATCGTGCGATAAGATGCTGACGGCACGCCCCCTCCGTGGTGTAAAGTGTCTGTATACAGCCGGGCTATTCGTAGGCGACACATCTTTGGGCTCCAAGGCGAATGGGATGGCAGCGCGCTTGTCCAAACCACGATCAGGCACTTGTCCTGAAGCTGCCTGAACATGATACTCTTCTAGACAGCAACAAGCGCGATACTGACTGCGCCACGTTCGCTTCAAAACGACACGCGGACAGTGTGCTCGGTGACGTGGTTCCAGACGTTGGTCTGTTTCTCTAATTTGATGCTCTTTCCGCTGGATATGCCATCCACTTCTGAGGTTAGAGATATCATAAACATGGTAGAAGATACGCTTGTGTAAACGTGTCTGCCTATACCATCCTCCCTCGAAGTTCCTCCCATGATTCTGACTGTCTATGGTCATTTTGGTAATGGCATGGCTTTGGCAAATGCTTGGGAGCATGTAAACAGTCGGTGATCTAGCTGTGTGTACGCTCGATATCAGACTTGTACTGGGCTTGCTTTTCTCGCAAGTACGACATGGGCTGGAAGAGAATCCCCAAAATAATCATAAGATCACAGTTCAATAGCTGGCCGTCGTGACATGGTCAAGTTTTTGTGGTCTGATTCTTGATGGCACTGCCTGTATTACAGCAACACGACACAGGGGGCCAGCGTAAACTAAGTTCTTGATTTCCTTGCTGTCATCTGATTCGTGTCCGAAAGGTGCATTCAACGATCAAACAGAGACACTTCCATGCTTACGAAGTCTAGTGACCATTTTCGGCGCAGGAGGCTCTCCCGAGCTGGTAGCATCCATGTTTTCGCAGCCCAACGATCGAGGAGAAGATCACTCTCAGCTGTATATGGGGCTAAGGTAGAAACAGGCGCCTAGACGAAGTAATTTGCGCGCTTTCACAGTTGGAGCATATCAATAGTTGCCATGTTGACTTCGCTGATATTTCTCCTGTTTTCCACGAGACGAAACGAACATCATATCTGTTGACGGATGCCAAGGGGTTGATTTGCGAGAGTTCAGCGAATTCCGGTTTACTCTTGGAGCATTGTTCGATAACGACGGTTCTCACAAAACAGATAAACATATCTAACTAATGACAATTGCAGAGCAGGCGGAAGAAGTGATCCGTACTATGGGTCGAGAGGGTAGTGGGAGGTGGCCATGTCATGGAGAAGTGAGAAGTCAGGCGGGATGCAAGTAGGATCAATCTAGTTAAACTTCTGCTGTCACGTGCAATTGTTCTTTCTCTGTCGATTGATAGTGAGAACTTGATATCCCGATCAATTTCAGTGACTGGTGATTAGATACCGACCTTCACTGATGTCCACTAGGTAGGTAAATAAAGAATCTGTAGCAGTCTCGTGACAGATCTGAACATTTACATGCAACCGATCTGCGGTGCGATAGGAGTGAGGTCGAAAGGGGTTTTGGCTGGTAGGCCACTCAGACTTCGCATCCAACCTCGATTCCACACTGAGAAGAGCAAAGGCTTCTACGAAGCTGCTATCTATGATTTTGAAGTGCAGAAAAATGTCCGGAAAGCTCCCGTCGTGGTGTTCCCCCAAATGCTTATGGTACTTCTTGACTTGACCAATTCGAACAGATCCCACAAAAGGGTTAAGACTACTAGATGGGCAGTCGTTGATAATGAAAAGTTTCCCAGGTTCGTCCCAGTAATCCCTCGGGGTTGGCTCTGACAGAGACGCTAGATACCCAAAGGGGCCTTTGATCTTAAAACGCAATACTCTCTTCAAAGCTCTGCAAATCAGGTGGCGAGTTGACGCAGTCACCTGGGGAAGGGTGCAGATGTCATTTTGCAAGACAGGTCGGCCCAGATCTGCGAGTGTGAGATGAAGGGGTGACACTCTGGCAAAGAGGTTACTACCGACTTTGCGAAGGATGATATTCTCGCCTCGAAAACAGTCCGAGTTCATGGAATGACCGAAGGAAGTTTCCCATGCAAAGAAATTTGTGCCCCGGATGCAATATAGAAGTTGTCTGCCGAGTTGAACGCCTCTATTTGTTACTGAGAATGCTTCTCTGTCAAATGGAGCTCTAGATCCGTGTACGAGTGTAATATCCCCGCAAGCATGAAAGTCGGCAGGCGAGGTGGCGAACATGCCACAGGGTTGAATACCCATTACCTCTTCGATATAGCCCTCAGTTGAGAGTTCTGGATCATCATGATGCGAGATGGCCTCAAGCATAGCAGTGGGCCCCCAGGTCCTGATGTCTTCCCACTGTGTCAACTCCGATGCGTTCGGAGAGAACAAGAAGATTGATGTGTCGTTGAAACGCCGGATGATTTCCTCTTGGAGCCTGACGAATGCCTTCTCGCCTTCGCCGTACAACATCGGCATGTGGATGTCAAATATCCCAAGGAGACAATATGCGATGTCTTCTACACGGGTGGTGATCCGATTTGACGCCCATGACATTCTTTGCGCAACGGGTAGTGAGTACATGGCGGTATGATCTTGAAGAACTGGTTCGTCTATGCGGGTGATTGAAGCAATCAATTGGGCCAATCCAGCCTTCGAACCGAATTCTTTCCACATTTTGTCGTAGAAAACAAGATACTTGGGTGCTATCAGCTCTTGAAGACACCAACCGCGAGTGAACCATGAGCAATATTTCATGTCTCCCATGTAGCTGGAGTCGACGCAAGTGTAGTCACTCAAGTATGCGATGCATACTGCTGCGTCTCGATACCAGCGAAACATAGAGTTGATAGCTTCGGTGACTTCGGCGCTACTGGTCTTGTCGATGCAACAAGTGTCGACCCAAGCGTATTCGAAGCCATGTGTCATACTTTGACGACAAGTCTCCCAGATCTTCCGGTAACCAGACTTCCGCTTAGCAATGTGGCTGATGCCTTCGGCAATCTGGCTCATCTCTTGGAAGCTGACCTCTTCGCCCTCGACCCAGGTGTGAGATAGAATGACATATCGAGGGGCTTTTTGGCTGTTGAAAAACTTCAGTTGCATCGTTTTAACCTCGATCAATCGAATAGACATTATGTATTGTATCTTGCGGAAACGACAGGTGTTGTTTGTCTTCAAGAGCGTGCGACTCAGGATGACGGAGCCGAGCAGAGCAATAAGCCCAGATGAACAAGCAAGCAAGCAAGCAAGCAGAAAAGTGAAATGAAGAAATTGGGAATCCTCAGCCTGATTGACGAGGTGAGGGGTACGCACTTTATCATCCATCTTAGGAAGGCAACTGCTTAGCCACCCAAATGCATGCAGCAGGCCTGCGCCGACGTGGCCCACTCCCAATACCAATCACACTGGAGGCCTACATAAAATGCATCGAATTGAAAAAACTGTGAACGAACCGTGTGATTAGATACTGACAAGACTGCCCGTAAGGTTGAATCGTATTAATAGGCTCCAAGCTATCATTCTGTTGAAAGTCTGCATCATAGCCATGTACGATTCGTGAAGCATAGACTAGATATCTTCAATTACACTAATATTCATAGGTTTTGTTCCTTCAAACCACATTTATCATGGTTCAATGCCACATCAACTCATTAAGCCCCCTTAAACCCTATGCTCCGCATCACTCTGGAACTCCTGCCTCTTATCCGACTCGTCGCCATGCGTAACCATGACCTCCATCTTCTCGCTCGTCACCGCCGGCGGGGGTGCCGCGGCGCTGTCGCCGTCGAAGATGACTGCGATCTGCTCGAGCGTGTGGCCGCGCGTCTCGGGGTAGTACAAGTAGGACACGATGAGCAGGCAGAAGAGCACGACGATGAAGACGATGTAGTACTTCCAAGCGATGGCCTCGAGCGCGATGGGGTTGACGAAGGTGTTGATGAAGATGGCGACGACGCTGGCGCACCAGGTCACGGTGAGGCCGCGGGAGCGCAGGCTGTATTGCCAGATCTCGCAGGGGTAGGCGGTCAGGAAGGGAGTCCTACGGTGGTGTTAGTCAAGGGGTTGAGATTTTGGGTTTGCTGATGAGGACTTACATGGCGATGTCGTAGCCGGCGAAGAAGATGAACAGGAAGGGGATGACAGCCATGCCGACGCTGGACGATGCGGTTTCGGCGAACTTGGCGCTGAGGCCGGTGACGATGATGAAACTGGTCAACATGACGCTGGCGGAGGTCAGGAACAGGAAGCGGCGTCCGAGGCGGTCGACGTTGGTCGCGGCGGCGATGGCCCAGAGGAGGTTCCACACGTTCAGGCAGGCGGAAATGAGAGTCTGGTTCGTGGTCGAGGTGACGCCGACGGAGTTGAGCACGAGGGGCAGGTAGTACGAAACGACGCCGTTTCCTAGGAACACCATGTCAACAAGAGCCTCGAAGGACGAGCTTTGAAATGGAACAACTTACCAGCCCACTGGGCGAAGATACCAAGGGTGATCGAGATGAAGAGTCTGCGGCGGTTGCCAGGGGTCTTGACCATGTCGGCGTAGGACGCGCTGGCGGAAGCCTCCTTCTCGGCGTTGATCGTGGCCTGGATCTCGACGACCTGGTACTGGACGAGGGGGTTGGATCGGTCGCCGCCGGCGTGGTGCTTCGCGAGCACCTCGGTGGCCTCCTCGACGCGGCCGACGCTGATGAGCCAGCGGGGACTCTCGGGGGACATGAGGAAGCCGGGGAGCGCGACGAAGGGGAGGACGATCTGCAGAAGGACAGGGATGCGCCACGACCATTCGGAGGGGATGTCGCGGCAGGCGAAGACGATCCAGCCGACCAAAGTTCCGCCGAAGCTGTTGCAGCTCAGTTAGCATCGTCTTTCGGACCACAACGGATTCAGGGGTTGAAACGTACTACCAGCCAACCATGAAGAGGGCGTTGGCGATGGAGCGCTGCTTCGGGTGGGCGATCTCGTTGATCAGGAGCGGCGCGGCGTTGCCGAGCCAGGAGGCGGCGATTCCGATGAAGAGACGGGAGATGGTGAAGGTCTTCTCATTCTGGGCGGCCGTCTGCATGCCGACGCCGAGGATGAGGAAGAGGTAGCCCAGGTAGATACCGGGCTTGCGGCCCCAGCGGTTGGAGACCCAGGCGGCGACGGGGAAGGCGACGCCGTTTCCGAGCCAGTAGATGGCGCCGATCCAGCCAAGGTACGCGCCGGTGGGAAAGTCCATGAAGGTGTTCCATGTGTTCAGGGCGAGGAGACCGCCCATGATACCTCCATCGTAACCGTTGGCGGACGCTAAAGTTGTCGGAGGTCAGTTGCGAGGAACAGTTGATGGTTAACTGAGAGTATGTTCTACATACAGAACAGGATCATGGACGTGGTGATGAAGTTGAGCTTCACCAAGTAGCCATGCTTCCACCACGGCTTGCCATCGCTCGGCAGGCTGTCAAGCTCTTCGACTGGTTTCCCCATGTTGACTGTGATGGTGTTCGGACAACTCCCGAGAGTCGCGGGCAACTTTGACAACAAAGAAAGGGGGTAGGGGAGAACAAGCTTCACAGATTAGGTAGTGTGGCCTGGCTATGAGGTCGTTGTTGAATTGTCTGGACTCGGACGAGAGCCTGTGAGGACCGTGACACCGGGATGCATCACCAACAGTCTGTCACCGGGGACAGGCCAGGTCTATATACCAAACTCTTTTCTCCTCCACGTGGAAAGCAAGGCAAAAGAATCAGTTCAGGAGCACGGTCACGGTAAACCGAGAAAAAAAGAAGGAGTGGAGTCCCCTATTCCGATGCCCCGGTCGTCGCGTGTTCGTCCGGAACGAAGAACTCGGCTCACACGCATGGTGCATGGCCCATGGGGCCAGACTTGTCTAATGTTGCGCCCCCCATGGAGAAGAAGCGCGCCTCCAGGATAGCATCCGCGGGGGCCCATACGACCCACATGGCAGATGATACAAAGTGGGAATCGATTCGTGTTGTTGCCAGAGAGCGGGAGCAACAAAGCATGATCTGGAGGCGGAGAATTGAGTCAGTTAGGTGTATCGTGATGGTGGGAATAACGATGTTAGTAGTCGGGAGTTGAAGACGGAAGACTGAGGCGGAGAAATGCGCTTTTGGCTTCCCTTTTGGCTTCCCTTTTGGCGAATTGACTATTGACACTAGGACTGGATAATGGTCCGTGCAGCTAGTCCACATGCCGAAGGGATCTTGGTCGGATTCCTGACCGACTCGTATTTCTCCGCCTCTTCACTCTTCAAACACTTTGCTGCCATCGTGACCCGTCGCGTCGGCTCACTTCCCACGCGACGGCCTCGGACAAGGTGGACACGCAGGATAAAGGACCCAGTTGTCTCCTCGTTGCAACATTGCTGCAAGTGAAAATACGTCATGCTTGTCGGAGCTCAATTGATGCCCTCCATGTGTGGGCCGGGAACCCCGCGGTTGCGACGGGTCTGGAGAGCTCCCCGCGTGCTCCAGGAATAAAGAAGAGTGTCGATCGAATTGCGCATTTCCCTTTTTTCTCCCAGCAGTGTTTCTCTACTCGCGTTCCCTTGAGTTTGATCCGAAGCTCTCATCTGTTCTGTCCCTCATCCGAACTCTTTCAGAGACCTCCCACCAGCAGAACGTCACGATGGATGTCGAAGCGCTGCTCGAGCAGCTCACTCTGGAGGAGAAGGTGGCCCTCACAGCTGGTAAGTATCTTTGATAAGTTTTGCTCAGATCAAATCTTAACCATACTTCAGGCAACGGATGGTGGCATACACAAACCATTGAGCGTCTGGGCATCAACCCGATCCGCCTCTCCGACGGCCCCAACGGCGTGCGCGGCACTCACTTCTTCGACAGCACTCCCTCCGCATGCCTTCCCTGCGGCACGGCCATCGGCGCGACATTCGACACAGAACTCGTCAAGCGCCTCGGAGGCCTGCTATCAGATGAAGCCCACGCAAAGGGCGCCCACGTCCTCCTCGGGCCTACGGTCAACATCCAGCGCAGCCCGCTCGGCGGTCGCGGCTTCGAGTCCTACTCTGAAGACCCTGTCCTCTCGGGTGTTCTCGCCGGCCACTATGTGAACGGAGTGCAAGAGTCTGGCGTCTCTGCCACCCTCAAGCACTACGTCTGCAACGACATGGAGAGTGAGCGTATGGCCGTGAACGCCATCGTTACAGAGCGCGCCATGAGAGAAATCTACCTGCTTCCCTTCATGATCGCCATCGAGATGGGCAAGCCGCGGGCCATCATGACCTCCTACAGCCAGCTCAACGGCCACCACGCCGCCGAGAACAAGCACATCCTGCAGGACGTCCTGCGCGACGACTGGAAATGGGACGGCCTGGTGATGAGTGACTGGTACGGCACCTACAGCACATCCGAGGCCATCAACGCCGGTCTCGACCTCGAGATGCCTGGCCCGACCCGCTGGCGTGGCGAGACCCTCGCCCACGCGGTCACCGCGAATAAGGTCAAGAAGTCCGTGCTGGACTCCGCCGTGCGCAACATCTTGAAGCTCGTCAAGCACGGCCTGGAGAACACCAAGATCCCGCCTAATGCCCCCGAAACCGAGGCCAACACCCCCGAGCACATCGCCCTGCTGCGCGAGGCAGCGGCCAAATCTCTGGTTCTCCTGAAGAATGAGAGAAACATCCTGCCCTTCGACAAGACCAAGAAGGTTGCCGTCATCGGCCCCAACGCCACCATTGCCACGTACTGCGGTGGTGGCAGCGCCGGTCTCAGAGCCTACAAGACGGTCACCCCCTTGGAGGGTATCAAGGGCCTCGCCAGCGACGTCGTCTTCTCCCAGGGCGCGTACGGTCACCAGTCCCTGCCTCTCCTCGGCAAGAACCTGCGCACGCCGGACGGCAAGCAGAAGGGCTTCGTCCTGCGCATCTACAATGACCCTCCCGCTGCCAACGGCGCCGCTGATGCCCGCAAGGCGCTCGAGGAGCGCGTCCTCGACGACGCCAACATCTGGTTCGTCGACTATGAGAACGCCGAGCTCAACCCCCTCTGGTGGGCCGAGACGGAGGGAATCCTCACCCCTGAGCGATCTGGCGAGTGGGATTTCGGTCTATCTGTCCACGGGACCGGCGAGCTGTACATCGACGGCAAGCTAGTCGTCTCCAACGTCGAGAACCAGCGCCTGGGCAATAGCTTCCTCGGCTGCGGTACCGTTGAGGAGACGGGACGCATGCACCTGGAAGCCGGAAAGGACTACCGCGTGCTCGTGCGCTTCGGCTGCTCAGCCACCAGCAAGATCAAGCCCTCCGGCACGGTCGACTTCGGCCAGGGCGGTGTGCGCTTCGCCGGATGCCCGAGACTGGAGCCCAAGACCGCGATCCAGGAGGCCGTCGACGTCGCCAAGAGCGTTGACCAGGTCGTCATCTGCGCTGGTCTCAGCGGCGAGTGGGAGTCTGAGGGCTTCGACCGTACTCACATGGCCTTGCCCCCTGGCACTGACGATTTGATCGCGGCCGTTGTTGCTGCCAACCCCAACACTGCTGTAGTCATCCAGAGCGGCACGCCTGTTGCCATGCCTTGGATTGATCAGGCCGGCGCGGTCGTTCAAGCTTGGTTCGGCGGTAATGAGTGCGGAAACGGCATTGCCGACGTGCTCTTCGGAGAAGTCAACCCGGTAAGCCATCTCTCCTTTATCAACAGTCAAGATGCAGGCACTAATAAACCATCACGCAGGCCGGAAAGCTCCCTCTCACGATGCCCCGCCGCGTCCAGGACAACCCCGCCGCCCTCAACTTCCGCTCCGACAACGGCCGCGTGCTCTACAGCGAAGACGTCTACGTCGGCTACCGCTGGTACGATACCCTCGACATCACGCCCCTCTTCCCCTTCGGCCACGGCCTCTCGTACACCACCTTCTCCGTCTCCGACCTCTCCGTCTCGCAAGACGCAGACAAGAGCGTCACCGTCCGCGTCAAGGTCACCAACACCGGCTCCCGCGCGGGCGCCGAGGTCGTGCAGGTCTACGTCACCCCCGCGGCGCCGACGCCGCTCACGAGCTCCATCCGCGACACCATCACGCGCCCGGCCAAGGAGCTCAAGGGCTTCGCCAAGGTCACCCTCGAGGCGGGCGCGAGCGCCACGGCGGAGGTTACGCTGGATCTCCTGCGCGCGACGAGCTACTGGGCCGAGATGGAGGACTGCTGGCGCAGCGATGCGGGCAAGTACGGTATCCTGGTGGGCACGAGCAGTCGTGGCGAGTTCTTGGAGTCGTCTATTTCTGTAGAGAAGACGAGGAGATGGAGCGGTCTGCGTGCTTAGACGGGGGCATCACTTGAGAAATTAGACATCATGCGAAGGCGCTTGGTGGAATGACTGTACATTGTAATGAACCCATGACGAATTAGACAAAGAAAATTCTGTTCAAACTTCACGTTATGGAATTCCCAATTGGCATCCGTAATTTGCCCAGCTGTGGAAGTATCTATTTCCGCCATCACAAACACCCCTTTCCGCACTCGACTCAAGCCACTTCGGAAACCGTCCGATTCTCCCCCAACAAGGCCCCTCCCTCCCATCACCCGATCCTCTCCACAAAGACCACCATCCCATGTCAAGTGACCAACAAAGTGGAAATCCGAGCTAAGTAACTGGGGACCCCGGAAATAATCGCCGGGGGGTTAGTTTGGAGAAGAAAGAAGAAGAAAAAACTAGCAAAAGCACTAAAAAGGCCCCCAATTCTCCGCATTCTTCAACCCCAAGAAAACCAAACTTGCTATTTCTCCCCCTCAAAAAATATCGCCGCCCATTTCGCCGAAGCAACGAACCACGCTCTCGGGTTTCATACCCCATGATTCCCACCCCCACGATGGGTCGCCGGTGACTTACAGCATGCGTCGATCAACGTCAGTGTCATCTACAGCGCGGAGGAGGAGGAGAAGTGACAGCAGCAAGACGCCCGAGACGCCGGCTGCCGCCGCCGTGGTAGCGGTAGTCGGTCCGAGCAGCAGGGCGAGCTTGGCTAGCAGGGCCTGCGATGCGTGTCGGGCCCGCAGGAGGAAATGCCACTTTGAAGAGGGTGCGCAGAGTCCCGGGGCGCAGTGCCGCGATTGCATCCGGCTCGGGATCTCGTGCAGTTTCCTTGTGCCCACGAGGCCGAGGGGTCCGAAGCGAAGGTGAGCCGATCTGATCTGGGGTAAAGAACATAGCATGGGGGAAGGATTTGAGGGGGAGGGATTGATGTTACAAATTTCTGCGCATGCAATGTGTACTTACATCCTTGTAGGAAGAGGCTCGCTTCAATGTCGGATAAGAGTGACGTCGAGCCGGCAAACGAGACTGAGACACCGGCACAGATACCAGCAGAAAGACCAGTCTCGCGGTCGTTGACCCATGAGCCGGTCCTAGTCTTGCCTGCTGATGATGGACCTCGTCTTCCGAGGGTGTCGCAGGCTAGATCGCCATATGAGACCTCGCATGCAGTCCTCAACGGCCCGTCACCTCGCGCAGTAATCGCAGCAGCCCACACCGACTCGCCGTCGATATCCGGCCAGGGGTTTCCGACAGACGAGGTCTGCTCCAGAGCGCTCATCAACATCATGATGGCCGACTACCTCGACCTGGTCTACCCCTTGGTGCCCGTCGTCCACCGGCCGACCTTCCGCCACGACCTCGCCAGCAACCGCGACCTCACGGACCGTGACTTCTTTGCGCTGCTGATGAGTCTCGTGGCTCTCACTGTCGGGCTGCTGCCGTCGCGGTTTAGGGTGTACCGGGCCGTTGATCCTGAAGTAGGCATCCGCTTTGAGACGCGCACTGCGTTCATCAACTGCTGTGCTGAGATGGCTACGCGACTGAGAGATGCGACGTATTTTGATCAGATTAACTCACGAAAATGGGCCGTCTCGTATGTGCTCTCAGTAGCGTGCTTTCAGACGGGGCAAGCAAATAGAAGTAGGATGTTTGATATCGAGTTCATGCAGCTCGGGAGGCTACTCGGACTTCATCGCATCTCAGACTACGACGGACTCAACTGCATCGAGACACAACTCAGAAAGAAGGCCTTTTGGTTACTTTTCTACGCCTGGGCGTATGTATCTTCTCCAGTCACTCTCATACTAACACAGCTAACATCCCCAGACACACCAAAGTCCAAAGCGGCCGCTCAGAACACCTGACCTACTTCCACCCCAACGACCTCCGCGAAGTCAACTTCGAAGCCCTGATGCCCCTCGCCGTCGACGACGAGCAAATCTTCGAAACGCGCATCGTGCCCTCCGTCCCGCCCCTGATCTCCCCCGGCACACCCTCCGGCGCCCAAGACCCGCCGCGGCCGCCGCAGCTCACCCTCACCAGCGCCTACAACCTCCACTCCCGCGTCTTCCTCAAGGGCCTCCGTGAGGCCATGACCACCGTCGGCTGCGAGTGCGAGCTCCGCCGCGGCGCCGCCGTCCGCCTCGCCCGCCTGCGCGACCTGCTCGCCGAGCTGCGCTACATGCTCGACGACGCGCCGGGGCCGATGCGCCAGTGGGCGTCCGCGGACAGCTACGAGGCGCCCGTCACGCCGTGCGGCGGGGACAGCCAGACTGCGGTGTCGAGCTACGACAGCCCTGCCGCGGACATGCAGAGCCGGCCGGTGGACCATTCGAGGATCGTCCAGGGCCAGGCGGACATTATGAGGGCGAATTTGCATGTCACGCATCTGTGGCTGCAGAGCATACTGCTCGAGCAGATTGACGTGGTGCTGCAGGAGAGTGCGATCGGGCCGAACGCCGCGATGGCGGGTGAAGATGTGGCGGCTGCGTTGAAGGCGAACTGGGCTGAGAGGGAGGACATTTGTCGGCAGCTGCTGCACTTGTTGCACAGCATCCCGTATGTCTACCTCGAGCCGAATGGGCTGTATCTGGTAAGTGAAACCCAGCACCTTGATGGATGAAAGCTAATATTTGGGCGTGGTAGACGTACAAGGTGCGGGATGTGGCGGTGACGCTGCTCAACTGCCCCTTTGAAGCCCACGAGCGGCCTGCGCGACGCGCTGCGGAGTACATGCGCGATTTCACCAGGGCGTTGTCGCGGCTTGACCGGAGCGAGTTTGTGAATACCAACAGCTTGAAGAGCTGGGTTGATGTTGATCGGGAGATGGCGGTTCAGTGAAGTCAGGGGCAGACATCTCCGTCGTCGGTTGTCTAAGTTCGAATCCTGGAACTGTCCGTCAAGGTCCATGAATTCACACAACAAAACTGGTTCCGAGGTAGCCACATACCTCCATCCTACTCATCGCTTTTTCAACCCTCGAGAAAACTAGCATCTCCAAACTCGCGTCTTGTCATCTAGTTTCAGCATTTATATACCCAACATGTCGACATTGACTACGTCCACCTGCTTTTCGAAGTTGCCGCCCGAGCTTCGAGAGATGATATGGATCGAAGCACTCACGGCCTCACCATGCGTATGGTATGCCAAGAAGAACTGCTTCTACGGATACGAGGAAGATGAGGCAAAAGCGAGGGATCCATTCTTCACCCGCATCAGCGAGTCGCCGCCCGAGTGTCGCGCAGGCTTTACCAACAGAGAGTCCTGGTCCTTACTCCACAAGGTCTACGACAGAGGACACTGCATTGCAGAGCATCCGCCGCTGTCCGGGGTCTACTGGGCAGATTTCGGCAAGACCCTGTTCCACCTCGACAGCTGGGAAACGGGGATCTTCACGTTGATGGCCCTTGAGGAGTCATTTCTCGAAAGAATTGAGCACGTCGGACTGGAGTGGCGCATGAGGCCTCAGATGGGAGAGGTGTGCCAGTTCCTCGCCGCCCATTGTCCGAGGCTGAAGACGATTACTTTGCAGAAGCGAGACTGGAAGCTCAGCTATTGCCACGATCCGCTCTTGGGGTCTGATTCGACCGCCTTTTGTGAATGGATCCTGGGCTATGAGGATCCCGAGATCACGCATGATGTGAAGGACAAGTCGGAGCTCCGCGATGAACTGATGTACTATTGGGAGGGATCCGGGAGAAATAGGCCTAAGATGCATCTTGTCTCGTCCTGCTCCCCGAACTTCAACTTCATTCCACATCCCACAGCCGGGAAGCTGTTCCTGAAACCATTTCATGAGTAGGTACGGAAAGTCGAGTAGCGTTGTCTGTATAGGGCCCACCCAAGAGTTGAGTTTTTTACGTATTAATTTGACCTTAATTCATGGCTCTCGAGAAACATGGGACTCCAGATCAGTATGACAGCACTGCAATTCGGCGATTTCAATTTGGTGGTTAAAACTCAGATGTACAATTCCGTTTGAATTGCTCGCATAATTGCGGTTTCAAAGAAACTCAGAAACGTGAAAGAAGCCTCGGTCTGAACAGCCAAGAATGTGTGATCTGCTCCGGCTACCGCTTCGAAGTTCATTATTCAAGTACGGTGCTAACTGCCGGAGTCGGCTCCGGCTCGCGGTGCCGGGACGGAGGAGTGGGTCCCGGATGTATGCCGGTAAAAAAGCGACTGGCACTCACACTCGGCAACACGGCACTTCTCGCAATTCTGAATGCAAAGTCACTTCCCTGCACATCGCCTCAGTTCCTTGAACCACCTAGATCACCATAATCTCTATAATGCCGTCTTCACATTGACCTAGGCATAGAGACAAAACGCCAACGGCGCAGACGAGCTGCATCTGCATGCAAGCCTCAAACTGACCGGCCGACTGAAGCAGAGCCAAAACAGCTGTCGTCTTGTGACAGCTATCCTGTCTCTGGTCGCCGGCGACTGAGACATCAGCCTCGAGGACCTGAGCGCCAGGGCATTTTCATTTGCGAAAGACAGGTGAACATCCAAACGAGTGGCAATCCGTTATCGCGCAACAGAGAGGTCCAAACATCGCGTGCAAAACTTACTGCACAATTCGACCCTGTTTCGGCGCGCCGATTACTGATTGGTCCGATTCGTTTCAGGGACCAAAGACATTCTTCAACCTGCTCACACCCAGCCTTCGGCTTTTTCGAGTGCCGTTCCTCATGGGAAACATGAGCTGCATGCAGGGATGAACCTAGCCAATGGCGCTAAACCCCAGTGCATCCACCTCCGCTGCGATCTTCAGTCACCTTACCCCAAGAACCCCATGGAAATTAGCGTCCTCCACAAACAAACACCCCGGCTTTAGCTTAACGGTGAAGCTTTTGACATGTTCCTACGACAAAGGGCAAGGCCACACAATCGATCGATACCATGCTGCTTGGCTTTCTTATCGCACATCAAGAAATCTCTTAGTAATGTCTCGGACCTACTTGTCGTCTCAAATTGGCTTCAAGTCTCATGGTCTCAAGGACTGCCCGATGTTCGGGCTATAACATCAATCATGGGACGAAGTCCGGCCGTCCTCGTCCCTTCAAGCTACCCCGCCCGTGACCGGGTACCCCTCACATGAGCTCGGACTAGCATTGTCGAGTTTAATAGACCACACCGCTGTTCATTAGCGGACACGTCCTCCGTCCCTCCGCTTTCTTGAGTCAAATACTTACTGTTCAGCACCCGCAGGACGAGAGAGGTGAACCGCTAGTCGTCGACAACCATCACTCCTTGGAACGGAACCAAATATGCTCAAGGCCCTCGTCGCCGCCGCGGCGCTCGCCGCGCCGGCATTCGCGACAGTACAGGATGACTGCCTCGCTCTCACGCCAAAGACGATCGTGACCAACTCGACGGTCAGAGTGCAGACGTTCGTGGCTTCGGGCACGAATCTCACCTTCCCCGAGCAGAATGCGAACTGCGGACGCGCGAGCCAGGTTGTCAGGGCGAATTTGTGCCGAATTGCCATGAATCTTACCACGTCGGCCAAGTCTGAGGTTGTGACGGAGATCTGGCTGCCTGAGAAGTGGAATGGTCGCATGGTGACTGTGGGTGGCGGAGGTCTGGACGGATGTAAGTGGTTAAGAGTGAGATATGAAGCCTTCAGTTGACTGACCGTATGTTCAGGTGTGCACTATGAGGATCTCGCATACGCAACTGCCAACGGCTTCGCGGCCGTGGGCACCAACAACGGCCACGACGGCACCTCGGGCGTGCAGTTCCTCAACAACGACGAGGTCGTGACGGACTTCTCATTCCGAGCGTACGTTTTGATCCACCCTCCTCATAGCTTGTAAGCTAATCAAGACACAGGCTCCACGTGGGCGTCGAGGCCGGCAAGCAGCTCGTGCAAACCCTCTACAAGAGCGGCGCCAAGAAGTCCTACTACCTGGGCTGCTCCCTCGGCGGCCGCCAGGGCATCCAGGCCGCGGACATGTTCCCCGAAGACTTTGACGGCATCGTCGCCGGCGCCCCCGCCGTCGACTTCAACAACCTCTACTCCTGGCGTGCCGGCTTCTTCCCGCTGACCGGCGCCGCCGACTCCAAGGACTTCATCAACGCCACCGTCTGGAAGACGACCATCCACGACGAGGTCCTCAAACAGTGCGACACCATCGACGGCGCCGAGGACGGCATCATCGAGGACCCGTCCCGCTGCCACTTCGACCCGTCCAAGATCCAGTGCAAGGACGACACCAAGGACAAGGGCCAGGGCTGCCTCACAGCGCCGCAGGTCGAGATCGTCCGCAAGATCTTCGCGCCGACCAACTACCCCAACGGCACGCTCTTCTGGCCGGGCATGAACCCCGGCAGCGAGAAGGTGTCGGCCGACGGGCTGTACGCCGGCAAGCCCTTCGCGCTGTCCGAGAACTGGTTCCGCTTCGCCGTCAAGAACGACCCCAAGTGGGACCCGGCGACGTACAAGCTGGACCCGGACGGCATCGACGCGGACAAGAAGAACCCGGGCCGCATCCGCACGAACCCGAGCGATTTGTCAAAGTTCAAGGCGCTCGGTGGCAAGCTGCTGATGTACCACGGCACGCAGGACAACCAGATCACGAGCCTGCACACGCCAATCTTCTACGACCGCCTGGCGAAGGGCATGGGGCTGGATAACAAGGGCATGGACGAGTTCGTGCGCTACTTCCGCATCTCGGGCATGTTCCACTGCACGGCGGGCCCGGGGGCGTGGGTTGTCGGTCAGGGCGGCGGCGCGGCGGCGATGAATGATAATTTGCCTTTTGACGCGGAGCACAATATCCTTGCTGCTGTGGTGAACTGGGTCGAGAACGGGGTTGGTCCGGAGACGATTAAGGGGACGAAGTTTGTGAATGACACTGCGGGTTTGGGTATTGATTTCCAACGCAGGCATTGCAAGTACCCGTTGGTGAATTCGTTTGGAGGTTCAGGGCCGCATGGGTCGAAGGATGTTGAGAACTGGACCTGCAAACCCCCAAGCTGACTGAGTTCACTCGACGACCATGATGAACTGTAGAATAATGTATCCTTAGTATTAATTGATGAGCCATGCTTTGATCAATGTCACATTTTCTGCCCTCCACCGCGACGTGTCCCTGCTGCACAGCGGCGTAGCAATGACGCATCTTCCATTTCCAGGCCTCTCACAGCCCTAGCAAGGCCCCTTCAGTTTGATTTAACCTTATACAATAAATAAAGCTTTGTTTGCTTTTTTAATTGGAAATGGTAGCATCAGCGGACGACTGCGATCAGGCTGGCCATTGAGCGTCGAGAAGTGGCATGCAGGCATGCACACCCTTAGAAATGCGCCTCAGCTGTTTCTTGTAAACGATCGCGTGCACCATTCGCTTAAATGCAGCCACTCCTTTGGGTGTCGACATCCATGCGGGCTGCCTCCATCGAAAATCAAGATGCGAGGCACTGTGGACGTTGCTCGCCCTTCATAAGGATGATGCAGCGACCCAGTCTTATCCCACGAGAGTGATTTGACATTTGACTTCCTTTTCATCTCTTCAATATGACTTGGTTACTTCAAAAATTTCGTCGTTATTCATCCCTAGACAATGACTCTCAGTATGAGCTGCCGACCAATGTCAACGGCCACGCGGGGGCATCAACAGCACCCAAATCGCCTTCCGAACAGCCCTCGAAAAATACTCCGCTTGGCAAGCCATCTCGGAAGAAGATGTTCCATAGTATGGAAATTGCGATGGCCTTTGTAGCTCTGGCTTGCCTGGTGCTGTCCATCTTGGTAGTCTCAAACCGCCATATCTCATGGTATCTGGGTGTCGATAACCGTCAGCTCATCGTCATCGGGTTTCTTCTCAGCATCATGAACCAGTGCCTAGCCGGTGTCACGCCGACATTGTTTTTACTTCTCGAAGCCCGTGTTGGAAGTTCCACGCTACAGAACTACGACGGGATTCTTCGCAACAAACCTCTGGCATCCAAGCTTAGCTTTGCCTGGCGCATGGTCCTTGCTATTATGCTGGCCCTTCCCGTCGGCCTCAGCGTAGCGTACAAAACCTTTACAGGCGGCGAGAGCAGCATGAAGATTCATACTACCGACTACATTCCCCACGGCACGTACTTTGGTCTTTTTAGACCACCAGCTATGTCAACATCAAACAGGGTGTTTCTTTTTTTTTTCAACGCGGCCGCCTCATTTCGAGATGCAACTGAACGAGCGGCAAATCTCTCTGAACCTCGGCTGCCCACTTCCCCGCAAGCTTACGGTTACAACATCCTATTACTTGACAAATTCAGCGCCGCATCACTCGACATTCTCCCTGCCGATTACATCGTTCAAATACAGGAATTACTTGCTCCTGATGAGTCTTGGAACATCACTGCGCCTGTGCTCGGTACCGTCGCTACCTTCAACGAATCAGCCACCGAAGAGGACTTCGAGTCAGTCTGCACAGAAATGAAACTCAACGACAAGACTTGGTATTTTGAACGTCAAGACTTACTCATGGGTGAACCGGGGTGCTTTCTCGCCTTGGCGGATAGAAAAGACCATTCGAATCAATCATTGCAGTATATTGGTCTATCACCGGGCAATCATAAAGCGTGCAAGCAAAACGCGCCACTTATCCACGCCTACAATATCTACCGACAGCAATGTTTGGGTACGTGGTCCGTTAGCCGAGGTGGCTTTCGACTTCTCGAGGGTTCTTGTGATAATAAGACCCTGCCGTGGGCCAAGCAGCAGGTAATTCAGTGGCAACATGCAGCACTTCCAATGTGGTACATGAGCGTTTTGATCGAGATGCTGAGAACCTTCTGCCCGTCTCCTCCCACGAACCATTATCGAAGCAATGAGTCTGATTGGATGATGCCATACATGTCAATCTCCGTGGCTACCATGCTGTGGTCAGCAAGCGTATCAAAGCAAGCGACCTCTTTCGACCCTGAAACATTCAACAAAAGTTCGGAAGGCTGGCTGTCGAGTAACGGAACCATTCCTCTTGAAGAGGCTGGTATTATTTATCCCGTCGACGAAGATGACCAGACAATTGTTATCTACAACCGGTCAACACTACGGAAATCTCCCTGGCTCTACCTGGTCTTGGTAATCCAGCCATTTCTGCTCCTAATCTTCCTTATAATGATTGCAGTATTTTACACAGTCCCCTTGGACAAGGGATTCGGTCTGATATCGATTCTATCGGGCATTGAGCGGCTAGATCTGGATAGCTTGCGCGGGGCATCCCTATCCGGAGAGCTTAAGCGGCCCGTCAAGCTGTCCATGAGCCCTACTCAAGCCGACGGGAAGAATTCTATAAAGTACCGGATATACCCTTTATCAAAGCAAAAGCAAAGAAACGCAGGGCTGGCAAAGAATGTTGAATATGATTGAACATGCTCTCAAGAGAGTCATCAGGTTCGTTCGTACTTATTCCAATACTGTATTCGCAACTACCTTACTGACCGAAATCATGTTTTCAGGCTTTCACATCCATAGCATCAACTGTGCAAAGACATCTTTGCAGAATGTGTTGGTGTTCAAGTCAATTATACCTTGGTGCCATCCAGCGCACAACGCGATACAACCCAGACTGGCGTTTCGTGGAAGAAGACTCAACGCAGGCGGGTACGCACAACGGAAAGCGTGCGCGTCTTAGAGTCAACAAGTTGGAAAGAAGCCCTTTGGGCTATTTTGTCCTATTTCCCTTACATAAGTTTCTGAAGGCCATCGATCTCAGACTGCAACCACCAATTGCTCAATATGGTCTCTATCTAGTTTAATGAAAATTGGTTTACTTCCCCGCTCCGTTCAAGCACACTGACGAAACAGTGGCAACATGGTGGACCGTTATGGATTTCCACACAAAAGTCAATTGAGTATGATTGAAAGGCTTTGTGATACCTAGTCAGGATCATAAATACTAAGGTATCTGACGCTTTCCTGGTCCTCCAGTCGACCATACATCATAATTTATTAATGAACCACCGGATTGCTGCACTTGTGAATGATGTTCTGGATAACATCATCGTTCTTCTTGAAGATGGTCCCGATCTTGCCAAGGTCGACTTCAGTCATATCCCGTCTCGCCTTAGCCAGCTTACCCATCTCGGAGGAGTCACGCCCGAGGCCACCTGCCATCAAGAGCCCCAACATCTCCATCGGCGCGGAGGTCGGCTCTTTCGCAATGTCGTAAAATGCTAACGCGGTATTCCCACCAGCACCAATAAGATCGATGATCCGCCCAAACGTCAGGATGGTAGCATCGAGTTCGGGACCGAGGACCTCGCCAGCAAACGGGATGACGAGAAACACAACGCTCAAGATGGTCAAGATGAGTTCCTTCTTCTCCTCTTCAGCTGCCTCTTCTCCAATGACTGCGACCTGCGCCATGCTTTCGACTGCCTGTTGGGCGAGCGACACAGGAATACTGAGCACCGAGATGACTTCATCGTTGACGCCGTCCCAGATGCCGAGCTTCATCTGAAAGAACATGCTGGCGAGGGTGGAGCGAAGGTTGGTAAAGCCCGGGAGAGCCTGGCTGATGATGTCTTTGGGGTTCGCCACCGTAATGCTGTCTGCAGGTAATGGGCGACCCTCGTAGACATATTTGGTGCGCGTGCAGGTCGCCGCACTGCCGGTGCACGTCACCTGGTCGATCTTCTCACTGAACTTGACCCAGGCGGGGATGATACCGTATGTTGATTGCAGCTCATTGAAGAAGCCTGCCTCGTCGTCTAAAGTGTAGTAGATGGTAAATTCGTCATATGTGTTGATCCAGTTGCCAAAGGGGCACTTCTGGGATGTCTCATTGCGACCGTTCTCGGCAAAAGTGCATGTGAAGTACTTGTTGCCGGCGCCGTCTTCGAGGTTCATGAACTCATCGAGTTGAGTCGGGATCATTTCCTTGGTATACTTGACGTAAGAGTCAAATTTACTGTCGTAGCCGTTATCGACGGAAGTATAGCTGGTGAGATCCTGTCAGTATTACGCTGGTCGCGGGGAAAATGGCGAAGCCCTTACTTTTCCAAGGTAGTATCCACCATCCTGTACAGGATCTGAGTTGCGTAGAGAGCAACGCAGTAGTCAGGAAAGGACCCCATGGCTGCGTAAAGATCATCCAATGTCACCCAATGATTCGGGTCGTTGCAGGGCGGCATGTCGACTGCGATATCGCCGACGTCAATGTCGGCGTCACCTGCGGATGTAGCATCAAATAAAGAAATTTGTGACCACTGAAAGAAACACAATGTGTCAGCGTGCTTCAAGATTTGGCGCTCGGATGTACTTACGGCAGGATGAACAGAAATTGCCAAATTGTCCGTGGCCAAGATACCCTTGCCATCGGAGACGAGGGAATATTGAGCGCCAATGGTGATGAGCTGCTGGAGACGAACTCGATGATAGTTTTCAGAGAAGTTCACCAGGACCTTTTGACAGGTGTGGACATCAACTGAAAGAATGGTCAGTAGGACTCCTGGCCAGGACACTGCCATCAAGGAGGGACTCACTGCAATCTTGACTATAGTCATCAAACCACGAATAGATGCCTGCTGAAGCAATATAGACATCTTGAGAAGTGCTGACAAGCAGGCCCCATGACGAGTCGCAACCGTCAAAGTCGGTACCGCTGCAGTCATACTTGGGATCGCCGCGAACGACTCCGACCTCGGCCTTGTACGGACTTGGAGCAGTTGGCATGGGCTGGTAATACGGGGACTCCGTTTGCAAAAGACCAGCGAAAACGTTCTGGGCACCAAACAAGTTGTACTGGTAGTACACGGCGTGCTCAGACGCGGTACCGTACAGCCAAACGGCCTCTGTGCTTTCGATGAGAAGTCCTCGGGCCGTATAAACTGAGACCATGGTCTGCCAGAAGATGAAAGTTAGCCAATGAGCGCATCCTTGTAGAAAGACTGTTGATCTCACCATTTCATTCTTGTCACTGACTAAGTCAGGGTCACTAGAGGATTATAGTAAGCTTTCGGACTGTGCTTGACAAATCATGGAGCAGGGCACATACTCAACCATATGGTCAGCGGTCCATAACCACATGTTCTCGAAATATCCCGATGCTCCCCTGGAGACGTGCATGACGAGTGCGGCAGTCTTGCAGTCATCATTCACGGCGCCGCTAGTGAGAGCAGGGCATTCAGCTGGCGTCAGCTTCGTGCCCGTTGCTCCGCCCAGACGAGCATGACAGTCTATCAGAAACTAAAAGTTAGCTATAGTGTATCAGAAAGGAGAGACGCGAATTGACTTACCCCACAGTCCAGCAGATCCCTGGCTGTCGGCGTTGATGTTCCACTCAACGAGGATAGCACCAGGAGTCGGTCCGACGGTGGTGAACATGAGATCTTGCATCTCAACTGATCCAACGTCTCCGATATTTCCAACTCGTAGCATAGGAATTGGCTTGCTTCACGACGCGGTCAGCCCTGCAATTTGTCCTGGATAAGCATCTTCTTACCTAGAGTCCCCAAACTTTGATCCAGTTGCCGCAAACTGTGTCCACGTCTCACCTACAATCTTGGTTCCAGCCGGGATGGTGACCGTATCCGACAACAAATAAACCCCAGCGTCGGCGAAAATGATCTTGCCGCCTGCACTGTTGAAAGCGTTTTGAACACCAGCAGTATCGTCGGTGGAGCCATCACCTACAAGTGAGTACATCAGCAATATTTCTCAGGCTTCTAGTGAAGAGAGACGCACCTTTAGCGTAGTCTTTCAAATGAATGAAGTCTCCGGTAGAATGGCCTTCGTACTGAGGCTTCGCCTTATCGAAGTACGGCAGGTTCGGCAGGCCGTCTATGGTCTTCTCGCCAAGCAAAGGTAGAATACCCATCCATTCGTGTGAAGACCCTGAACTCCATGTGCGCTCGGTGCCGTTGTAGATAGGTCCCAAAACCCAGCTCAAAACGCTGCTAGAGCCGTCAAGGAGAGTCTTCCCAGTCGTATCTGCAACTCCCTGACTGACACCGCTGAAGCCGATGTTGTCGAGAAGAAGACCTGTCGATCCAGTAGCAGGGGTGGAAGAAGGCGGGGCAACTACGATGGCTTGCTTCACGTTCGTGAACGAGGTATCCATGAAAGCGGCGGATCCAACGTTTCCGTCACCGCCATCGTTGACAAGACGAAAACCAGTGCTCGAGTCTGTGACGGTGATGCCCTTCCAGACCCAACCCCAATCCCAGATGATCTGGACTGCCGTATTGCAGCCGTTGAACTACAGAGGTCTTAGTCTCGGTCTGGTTCTTCAATTTGATTGATTACTCACAGTCAGACGTTGGGCAGTGAATTGCTGACTTCCGGCATCTGTTGTTTCGACGATGTTAATCGGGTTACTAGAAGGGACCAAATTTCCGATGTCGTGAGTCAACTTACAGATGCCGAAGTTTCCTCCAGTGAAAGTGATGTCAGCCAGCACGCCACCGCTACCATTCTCCGCATCTACCGGTCTGTTATTGACTCAGGTTCCTCATTGATTCCGGTGGGCGAACCTACATAACCCCTGCTGTGTGGTTCCAGTCTTGGCAATTAGCTCAACAAACTGAAGGCTGGTAGCTTGCGCGACTTGGTAGTGTAGTGCGCAGACGTAGGCGTTGGGGTCAGTTGAGGCGACGTCGATCTTGAAGTTCCGAATCTGCCTGTAGAACGATGCCGTATTGACATACCACTCATTGTCCTTACCATCGGCCCCAGCACCATCGCCCATGTACACGTCTGTCGAAAGAACCCCAAGACCAACAAAGCTGGCAGCCGCCTTGATGGTTGGACGGTCGTTGGCCTGTATTTGAAGTATTAGCCGCAGTGTGCTGGGACTGAGAACGATCACACTTACATCGCCAATCATCTGAGTGCCAAAGTAGACAATGATGGGACTGGAAACCAAATACGTCCCGGGAGGAAAGTAGACAATGGCGTTCTTGGTAGTAGAGCCGTTGCAGGCCTCTCCACATCGCTTGCCGTCCTTGATGGCTTTGTTGATGGCCGCAGTGTCATCCTAGCAATTATTCAGCATCATGCTCACGTATAAATTGCGACATGTTTGGGAGGGCATGGAATCTTACAGTGACACCATCACCCTTGGCTCCGTAATCCATCACATTGCGGAAGATCTGCGATGGCATTCGTTAGTGCCTTGGCGATCTCTTGGCGAACCGGGGGTATCTCGACTACGAACCGTGTAGCTGGAATCGTCACCCCAAGGAGAAGTGCCTCTGTGGGAAATATCCGGCATCCAAAAAGTGCCGCGCTTTTGAACAGAACGCTTGGTGCTGTTTCCGCTGGAGGTCGATGCATCTGCCTCGGCCACAAGAGCGGCAGCGGCGGCAATCTCTGCAGTGATGTTCAACAACGGGGGCGCCGAGACAGATTCTGAGTCGCCAGTACTACTCTGTCTTTTCCTGGTAGTGCCACCAACGCTGCTCTCAGGCGAGAGCTTGTAGCTTTAAGAATGATTAGCTGACTCGTTCTGTTCTGGCAAGGGCTGATGTCTAACCGATTTCTGGCAGGGTGGTCGAGACGGGCTTTGTTGAGCTTGGAAGCCTCCGCGATGGCCTTTTGAACGATTTTGCGCGCCGCATCGAGTTCAGAGTTTGTGGTGTTTGATGAGAGAGAATTACTGTCAAGAGAGGGAGAGCGGTGCTTCACCAGCGAGGGCGAGACTTCGAATGGAATGATGGACGCGAAAGAAAGAGAGGCTAGAACAAATAGAATCCAAAGCCACGTATGGGCTGAGGCATGATTGGTGAGCAACATCATGAGCTTGATGGAAAATGGGAATGAGCGACTGCGCTACGAGAGAAAAATGCAGAGATGAATGGCACAAGCGAGAGTGTCTTGAACGGCGAAGCGATATCCAACGTTAATTATGGCCTCCGATATGCGATGCGCGGCTCCATGTTCTCATCATTATTCATACCAAGTTGACTTATATCACGGTTTCCCAAAAGCATCAAAAAGCATTCGATGCGGTCCAGACATCACTCGATGAGCCGGTTTGCCGAACTCCCAAGTGTCCTGGTGGGTTTCCGCTATCACCTCATTTTAATCTGCAGTCAGGGTCGCACCAGTTGAGCCTTATTGTCAGGCTGCCTAAACAATGGAGACCAACAGCGGCTGTAAGCACGGCGCTGAATGCCAGAAATGGCGTAGCCAAAAAACAAGCCTTTGTGATTTCTTCAAATGTCGAATAAACTACCCGCACTTGGATACCTAGCATTTGGGACTTTGGTTGTAGGGTTGCTTCGATGCGAGCCGAAAAGGAGGTGCTCGAGACAGGGTATTTCGGGGGCCTCGGCTGCAAAAGGCTTCTAATGAGCCATTCAGCCATGGAAGTCAACGCACATAGAGCATCTGGTGTTTCCATGGTTTGAATTCACAGCTGACAGGAACGGAACACGGCACTGAAGGATCACCTGTCAACCAATGATGTCTTCTCGAGTGGTCCTGCCTCAGCTATTGTGATAGCGTTTCTGATAGACGTTGTGACTCTGGAGAAGTCAGATGCCTAGTACCTACCGCATGAGGTGAATCGTATCATGAAAGTAATTTCCCTTGCTTTATCACCAGTGTCCATCTCGGAGCTGAGTGTCTATTTTGGATATTGGACTGTGGTCGAGACGTTGAGTAATGTATTCTCGGAATTTCCTTTAACATGTGTACCCCTCCATTGATTGCAGACTCCCAGATGGCGTAGCTGTTGACATTTTGAATCTCAGAAAAAGTCACATTCAGGATCTGTTCTGCTTTTCGGTGCGCCTTGGTGCCGTCCATTCCCTTATCCAAAATGCGGTTCACTTTACTCGCTCTTTTCTTTTCGTTCACAATCAGAGTCCTTGCCTCTGTGTATGCGGCGCCTTTCGAGGCGCTCTACTGTAAGTCTGATTCCTTCACGTCACCATTACTTCGATTCGGCCACAAATTCTGTTCTCAAGCTCACGTGGGCATAGTCTATTATGCATATCGCATGGAGTACGACGCCGTAGCTGCTGACAGCACGCTCACCATCGACGACATGTGGCTGGCACCGTATTGTAACCCGGGAGATGGTTCCAGAAGAGCGTGCAACTTCAATGAGTTTGTCCATAGTGTTTACGATGATCTCGATGGATATACCGGCGCCATCGACCCAGACGCCTACACTCGCGACACCCCTCTTGCCACCATTGCGGAAGACCTGCATAATGCAGGATTTCAAAGAGTGCACCTTGACCCTACGTCACTCGTCAAAGATTTGACTGCATACAACACTCTTTACTATAAGGTCATCAAGAAAGTGACCGACTCGGTGCAATGGTCAAGGTCAAAGGGAGCAACGGCAGACCTTGACCGAGCTCGCGAGGCCATTTCGGGAGTGTATGGAGAGCGCAAGGCCGACAACATGGTAGGCATCGTTGCCAACAATGGTGACGAGATTGCAAAAGCTTTGGGCGTTGATTTTGAGACCCAAACGGAAACGTCACCACTCGGGAGGGAGTACGAAGGAATCGATGTACGTTCTGCTTCAATGTCGTATGTCTGTGATGTCCACAAAGGCTTCCCGCTAACAAACATATCACTGTCAAGTTCGACACGATGGAGGACAATCTCATGGCGAAACATGGGAATGACTTTGTTGCTGTGCAGGAAATCTTAGATCAGGCGACTAATTTGATTAGCGAGTACGAGAGTGAGGACCCTGACAACCACCGAGGGCTCATTGATGCTGTGAAGAACCACATGGATCGTGTGAATAGTGTCGATACTAGTTGCTGAGGTCTTCTGTTTGTTGTGGAAATCTTGAGCAGTAGGCTTGCGATCCATGGATGACGATTAAGGAGAAGGCGGGGTTAGGGTTTAGTTTGATTATATTATCGTCACTATTGACCTCTAAGAACGAGAGACCCATAGTGGCTAGTAATTATTTGCGAATTTGTCATGTTAAATTGAATTTGCCTGGACTTTAAAGAATTTCAACGTAGCCATTGGATCGTACATTGCTCACATCCAATTCGCGTTGGGTACCTAGGTTGACATCTGCGTCATGTAATCAATCTGGATGCTCCCCGGCAAAAGTGCCGAAGTCACGATTGGAAAGCAATTGTCAACGCACAGACCATCTTGATATTCGGCATAATAACAGGCGATTCCCAGCTTTTTTCTACGAGCCAATCCCGCCCACTTCAACCTCTACCTCAACCTAAAGCACACTTCGTTTGCCACCCGCCCTGGGTGCCATGTCAGCTGCAAAGACCCGCGCAAGCGACCATTACCTCAAAGCGTATGGCGATGGCGAATCCGGCGTTGAATTTGACAGCACAGGCAACGGGCCTTTGAATGTCCCTGGATTCCCCCTAGCTGTGTCTATCGAGCGCAGCCACGATGAGCGGTTCGCTCATGGATTCAACGATTGGTCCCAAGATCGCCTGACCGCCCGGGAAATAGCCATGATATCTCTTATCAACGACATTACGGACAAGCCGGGCTGGTCCAAGGACGTGTTTAATGATGTCAAGGTGGGGTCGTGGCGGGCAGAAGCTTTGGCTTGCACGTTGATGAGCCCTCTCGCCTGGGACTGGTGTCTTCTCGAACTTCAAGACATGGCGAAGGATGCTGATGAGCGCGGACATATATGTGTTCTCAACACGGCATCACGGGTATGCAAGTCAGATGGGCTGTTTTCGCCCTCTTTTTTGGAACAACTCACGCTACGAACCGGGTCAGTCTGGCACGATTGCCCGTTTGGAGTCGACCCGAACATGTTTCCCTTGGTATATGGCCAAACCAAAGTTCTTTCACAGGGCGGTCAGGTCGATTTCGAACATGTCATCGACAGCGTTGGAAAAGGCGAAACAGCCCGTCGCCAACTGCTTGAGCCCCTGACCACGGCGAAGGGGCGCGAGAATATGCGAAACCATCGCCGCCAATGGCTCAACTCCTGGGATACTCATACGGAACGCTTTTCGGACCGCTTCCAATGGCTTCCATGTGAAGTCGACTTCTCTGAAGCCAACACACATTCTGATAGGTGTCCAGACGTCAAGATCACTTCATACATTAACAACCTGCACCCAGGGGCCCACAAGAGCCTCTACAGCACCATCGAAAAGTTCATCTCATTATCGATCCAGCCTTGGAATGATATTCTTGCCTACCGTAGCCGAGGGCGATGCCCCAGTCGCATTAGAACATTCGGTGTGGTTTGGTGGCCTCCTTTCCCAGACTGGGCTGCCGGCCTGAACAAGATCGAGAAGGATATAACGACTGAGGAGTATAGAGACGCGAAGAGAAAAGTGGAAGAGTATCTTAATATCCCGGAGCTGCCTCCCGCATTGCAGCTGAATATGACCTCCCGAGTCGGACTTCCGACCATTGAAGAAGACTGGGAAGATCTTGGCCTGGCCTGGGCTGTCCGTGTCAAACATGAACGCCTCAAACACTGGCTTCACCCTGAGCCGGGCATTTCCTTCACATACGGTGACTGGAGGCAAGGAAAGACTGGGAAAGCTCTTGTGGGAGGCCGAATGCCAAGAAAACCATTAACGAAATTCGTGCCGGGACTCACTCCGCTGGAACCTGGGCCAGACCACCACTTCTACGCTGTTTCGCTGAAGGATCATTTTCTCAAGCAAGGTCTGCAAGTTGTTGTTCAACTATCAACCGTCGAACTGACACCAGAACATCCAGTCCAGTAAGTGAAGAATACTATAAACACATTTCCTGAAGCCTGTAAGGTTACAATCGCTAATCATGAAAGGAAGACCTCCCACAGATTGGCGCCTCAATGGCATGGGGAACGAGCACATCGTGGCAACTTCGCTGGTGTATTTTGACAGCGTCAACACAACCGAGACATCTGGTGCTATTTCTTTCCGGGTCGAGGCAGACCTAGACGCAGACGCACATGTCTACACGCGAAGAGATCTTGCACCACTCGCGGGGATCTATGGTCTTGCTGATCCTGGTCAACTCCATAGCGACAGTGAGGAACCCAACGCGCTGCAGGAGCTCGGCACCATCGTCGCCCTCGATGGCCGACTGGTGGCTTATCCCAACACCTTGCAGCACCGTGTAGAGGCGTATGAGCTGCTGGACCGCTCGCGTCCGGGCCGCCGGCGTTGCTTGACGATGCATCTTGTCGATCCCCACTACCGCATTTGCTCTACGCGCAATGTGCCGCCGCAACAGCACGAATGGTGGGTGGAGGAGGGACCGGCAAAGATCGACTGGGCAGGTCATCACGTCCCGCAGGAGATCATCAATCGGATCATGACGGAGGTCGGAGAGTGGCCTATGGGCATGGAAGAGGCGACGAGGGTGAGAGATGAAGTCATTGGTGAGCATCTGGCCGGCATGGAGGCAGTGCAGGGTAGGGTAATGCGATATCAATTTGATTAGTCTTTCCGTGTTCCCATACGTGGGAGACATCCCATTCAATCTATCTCATATTCCGAACTCTTTCTGGGTAATGTAATGCGATGAAACAGATGAAGTTGATGCGTCTTGAGAATTCTTTTCGTTATAACCGAGATCTTAACCCAAACTCCATAATACGTTTACATAAATCATTTGTCGCTTCTGTTTTCGCGTCGGGGTTGGTCAGAATGATGGCCATGCTGTTGCACCACAGAGCCAAAACTTACCATGAGAATCTATGCTGCCGCCCAGTTGACCAATTTCCAGGCGGGCCTGCCTCTGTATCTCCGTTTCTTTAAGAGACGCTGCTGCTCGTGACGGAGCTTCCTCCACCTCTCTTCTCATCCGGCTTTGCACCGCCTCCGAACCAGCCCTTGAAGCCGCCAGAATAAGCGGGAGGTGGCTTCGCGGGCGGAGGCACGGGAGGAGCCGAAGAAAGGGAAGACGGCGAGGTTGAACGAGAACGAGGGTTCTGGCGGGTACCAGGAGTAAATACAGATGCCAGATTCAGGCGTGAAGAAGCTACTGGACGTTAGTGAAACCTCAAGAAGGCTGTTGAATATGGGAGAAGTACTTAGGCCGAACCGGAACTTCGGTTTTGTCCGGGCGTAAGGTGATGTTGTGTGCGATCTAGGGATGCGGCCTTTATGCCAGTACTTCCATCTTCTGCAGAGGAAATAGCAGCCGATGAGGCTGAGAATCAAGACTCCTCCGAGCACGGACCCGAGGATGATGCCGAGCTGCTTCCCGGAGAGGCCTGATGACGACCGGGCGGTCGGTTCTGCTGGGAGGCCGCCGTGGAGGGTTTCGACGGTGACGTAGGTAGTCCACGATCGGGTGACGGTTTGCGTGATGAGAATCTGCGCCGTGTCTTCATCGCGTTGCAATAATCGTCCAAAGTTGATGTCGCCGGCGGGCGTCGGCGCGGGAGCCTCAGACAGCCCGGTCGACGCCGGCATTGCGGAAGGGCTCAGTATGACTCCGCCCATTATGAAGTGAGACAGGGCGTGCTCATGTTCAAAGGCCGGTGGGTGAGGTGAACAAGGTTCTAGCTGTCGACAATTGATGTCTCCGATGGCTCAAATGGAACCTGTCATGTCTGCATGTGGAATTCTTCGTCGAACGTCATCTGGGGAATTGCGCGTGTCGGCGGCGGCGAAAGCTGTGGATAAAAAGAGGCTGGGAAGCTTGGAAAAAAGGGGGTCCACAACGGAGTCATTTGTGGATTGTCAGAACAGAGAACAGCGAACCGCTCGATCCACTGACCAGGTCACCTTGCAGGGGTCATGCGCAGGTACCAACTCGGGGTTTATTGGGTGCGATCGATACCGCGGTGGCTCTTCGACGGCGTCAGCAGTGAGCTGGGCTTCTGCTCTTGGTGTTCTGGGCGCTTGGCTACACGCCTAGATGGATGGCTGAAGAGTTCACGATTGAAACGGTGAAGCCTAAAGTGGGGATTTCCAGGTTTTCTTAGGCCTCTCACTTCATCATCATCTTGCTGCGCCTCGTTTATCGGCTCTTCTGCTGGAGACCTGCCGGTCATCTTCATCACCTTGGTTGCGTGACGCGTCGGCATCAACTGGGATTGACCTGGATTCATGGCCCAAGTTGCCGCTCTTGCAGCTATCAAACTGCGATTCCCCAGTGTCTTTTTCTTCAGGGACCTTCGAGTCACTATGGTTACCGAGCAAAGACCATCAGTTCGGTCTGGCAACCAACCAAAATCATGCCTGCAGGCTGAGTGGAATCCCAATCTTGCAATGCTGCATTCACTTGGTTCGTTGTTGATACTCAACGTTGCCTGTCTCTTATACCCATTAAATAATTGATCTAAAGCCTGATAGATCTCACTGGGAAAAGCGCCTTTCGTTTCCAAGCCATTGTACTTGGTCGTCCTCTTTGAAATCCGAATCCAACAGAAGTCCTGAGCCGGATAGCATGTACCGGTCAGCGGTTCCATGATTCTAGCTTAGCGCCCGGCACCAGTGCACTCTGATTACAGGCTAGAGTCGGCCTCTGCATGGCGTCTTTGACAGCTGCCAGAAACAAACTTGGGTCCGTGTCTTTTGCCTGAGCTAATTGGGACGTGATGTCTATGTTTCACTTGAAGCAACTTTGAAGAAGCCACTGAAGGTGCAAATAAATAGTTCTCGCAGCATCATCATTGCCCTGATGGTCTCATTTTCAAGCGTTCATGAGAGCCCCATGGACGCTGAGCCGATGTAAGTTTATATATACCCGGGTCATGAGTGCCTACTTTTTCTCGAGATTACTATCTTAGATCCGGGGGAGCAAAGCCTGAGTTACTATCACAGTTCAACATTATACTAATTGAGTGTTTCATTCCATTTATAAAACTGTGTGTATTTTTACGAAATGTACTCAGCCGTGCTGGACTAAGTTTATCCAAGGAGATCGCCTATTTTTCCTGTACTAGAGCGACTACTTTGCCTGTGGCTATACTCTAATCACATTACCGTCGTCGTCGTCATTGTTGCATTTATTGTTGTCGTCACTTCGATCCTCTTCGTTGTTATCGTTTTAGTTATCCTCGTTCTTATCATCGCTACCACTACTATTATGTTCGATAGGAGTGTTCAAGTGCACAGGAAATATAGCCGCGTAGGCACAGGAAAATTAGGCGGTCTCTATCCAAGCGCTCAAAAGACTACATCATGCCCACTATAGATATCATCAACACAAGTCAAACATGGCAACTGTTGTCACCCCCGCCTCCAAAAGACCTTTGATTTCCCCTTGCATAAGTCCAGGCACAGTGCAAGTGCCGACTATGCAATAGATGAGGTCATTGCTGACTTTTCCGGCTTTCCTCAGCACCATGGGTGATAGGCATCCATCAAGAACGCAAATCAAATCACCCAGATCCAGCTCCCCAGGCCCAAGCCCAAGATATCCATCACCCGTTTCGAACAACATTGTCTCTTGGAATACTTTCAGATGCGTCTCTAGAAGTGGCCACCAATTTCCTGCAAAGTCCTTCAGCAATTCTTCCATCCCTGACGCACCGCTAACTTCTGTCTTTCCTGCTGGCAGCCGGAAAGCAATGCGCTCTAGGTGCTCTCGCAGAGTAGGGAAGCTACTTTGCAGTAACGAGCCAAGTTGCTTTGAGTTTGTGGTCCATCAATCGTCTTGTTCCAAGAGCGTGCCTTTAGGTGGAACGCCATCGTCGTATCTTCTTACGCGGGCCAAAAGTGGCTGAATGTCCATTTCTCCTTCCGTTTCGCGGAACAGCGTTTGTGCGAGAGCTTGTACTGTCGCAGATTGTTCGTGACGTGGCTCGTGTGGCCGTTGGCTAAGATCTCTTCAGTGATAGTTGGGTCGCCCCAAACGTATGATAGCGCCGCAAACGACGGCTCGTCCTTAAGACTCGCGATTTCGAGAGTGACTGTAATCTGCGCTGTTTCAAGGCCCGAGTCGACTTTGATTAGTCGGATCTGCTTGTCTTCCGGGTCAAGTGCTTTGTAGATCGAATTTGACTCCATTGTTGAAGGTATTGTGGTCAATCTGACAATCGGAGTTGCGAGTGCTCCCCGCATCTGAGTGGACATGATGACCCAGATAGGACTGCATGAACACGTGATTGATAATGATGACTGAACGGGGTAATCAACACACGAGACTGGCTGGATGGACAGGCATTCCAAAAGACTGGTTATGGGAACTTGCTAGGGACTAAGATTACAGGCGTCAACAAGCTAAGCATGCGTCACTGCATTTGGAATAGTTTTCTGCTCTGTATTACATTGGAATGATATTATTTTATGTGGTGAAATATGCGATTATTTTACTGTCCAGACCCTCAAGTGGCAGTGATGCCGACCTTATGCATAGATATAGCAGAACGGGGTGCCATCAATAGTATTCAGAAGGTCCTTGATAGGACGATCCTCGGCAAGGACACCCATGAGGACTAGGTCATCCTTGGTAGCATCACGGCTAGGGGGCAGGTTCTGAATGGTGATGGTGCCGGCGATCTCAAAAGCCTCCCACAAGTGCATCGCTTGCCAAAGCCAGTAGACACGGTCAACCATAGCATGATGAAGGAAAAACGTGGGATCGGTGGGTGAGGAGTAGAGGTCGCTAGCATCTCCGTTCGCAACGAAGTGACCAGCGGCATGCATTCCAAGGAAACCATCACCGAAGCGGCCCTGCAACTCGTTCTGGAACGTCGAGATGTTCTTGGAGGCCTGGCCCATAGTCACGTTGACAAGATTGTCTGTCGTCATCCATGTGGAGGCGGAATAGGCGCTAAGATCGCGGCGAAGACAGCGGGGGTTGTACTCCATGGGGCCATTAGGGTTGACTTCGAGGCCATCCATGCCTGGGGAGACAGGACCAAGATGGACGGTCATGCTATCGCATTGTCAGTATTTGCTCCTTGTCTGACGCTGAGTGATGGAGAAGTGAGGTCTTACTTGACGAGCGGGCCACTCATGACACAACCGCCTCCATTTCCGGAGGGGACCTCGATGTTTCCGTTGGGGGCACGGCTGACGCTGCCGTTATGAGGGACGTATTCGCCATCTCCGCTCAAGCTGGTATCGCTTCCATCATATACTGGAGACTTGCGAGGGTCATCGGTATTGGCAAACCAGTTCCAGTACTACATTTTCTTGTTAGCGGAGAAAACCATCTTCCAGCCTCTAGAGACTTACAGGTTGCGCGCCCTTGTAACCACATTCAGTTCTCAAGGCGTTCTCGTAAGCCCACGTAAAGTACCTGTGCCAGGTCAAGAAGTTGCCCTGAAATTGTCACATTAGTTGCTGGATCTGATCGGATCTGACTAGCAAACATACAGTGCCATGGATGGTGCGAGTCTGGTTAATATGAACGGCAACAAAGTCGTCATATCTGTTGCGGGCGCCTGGGGCGAAAGAAGGGTCCGACTTCGACGGCGAAGTCAACATGCACTGAACCGCACTGATGTACTCCTTACGCTCTTGTGCGGAGAAAGCGGCCCTGTTAATCCAAGGTCACTTGTAAGCTCACATATACAGTCGCAAAGTGGACCGTCTTGGGCGGAAACTCACCAGTCTCTGCGCACTTGAGCATTCGTCAGGTTGCAGCTTCCACGCTTAGATAGAGTCCCGTTGGCCTCGGCTGTCTTCAGGTTTTCCATAGCCTGAGCCTGCAGCTCCGCGAGGACATCCCCAGCGTCACGAGCCTGGAGAGGCGTGTCAAGGGGCGCGCCGGAAGCCAAGGCCGAGAAGCCGAGTGCAGCGAGGAGCTTGACGGCGTGCATGGTGTGTCTTTGAGAGGAGTTACTAGAACTTAGATGAAAGGGGCCTCTGTATGCACCAAAAACATGGCAGCGTCAGGAAAAGACGGGAAAAGATCTGCAGAGGGAGGCGGGCGTGAGGAGGGAGGGTGAGAAAAAGGAACGCAAAAACGTGGCAATGGGGCACTTCGGAAGGACCTCTATATACAATGTGAGGACGTAACAAGAAAGTGCCGCTTCATCACTGCCGAATTAATTTCAATATTGCTGGCAATAGCTTAGCTTGGCGAGCGAATCCATTGCCACCTTTGCTAAGCTCCGGGTAGTTACTCAGTTGTTGGTCAACAATCTGCATGTGGGAGAGGTCAGTAGATCTCATATGAGGGGGGAGGCTCGAGCCTCTCGGCTCCTCGGTGGTGACATCCCAGACGAGAAAATCGTCCTGGCTAAGATCCTTGAACCATGGTCAAGAGCCCGCGCGGCCGGCTGGTGGAGACTGTGAGGACAAGATCCGATCGAATGACCATTCAGTGAATGGGATGGACGTCTGCGAGAAGCAGGCATTCCCAGGACGCTTGGACAGATGATTTTTGAGGAGACACTGGCAGACCATGAGTGATAGACGTCTATCTTTCAGCCCTACATCAGGAGTATCCGCAACCTTATGTATGAGTATAAACTAAAGAATTTCTTGACAAGCAAACAACCTCCACAAACTTGCTCACGACAATTAACCTTACCAAGCAAGTACCGAGCCAACTTCTGCGCTGTGGGCAAGATTGCCGTGGACGCTGCACGCTTTTGATGTGTGTCACTTGGGGGCGTAAAAGGATTGTGTGCCGCAGGCCGCGTGGTTTCCTCCGCCGCTCGCCGCTCGCTACGGCACAGCACATTGCTAGCCAGCTCGTCGAGCCTCTTCGGGGAACGCCAACCCGACGGAAATTTGAAGGAGGGGAAGCGAGAATGACAAAGTCGGCGTCCATCTCGTTTGAAATGTGACATTGTGTTGGTTCCATCCCGCCAAGCCATGCAGGAGCTCCACCAGCGGTCACCCAACGTCTGCTAGCATCAGTGGAGGGGACGGGGAACATGCCCTACGTCGGCCCGCATCACACCACCACGGCATGGGTCTCTGCAGAGAATATGCCAGGGTCGAGTGGCTGCGGCTACGGCCTCTGGGCAATGAAGAACGTCGACGAATGTTTTTGCTTTTTCTCTGGTTTACCCCTGGCTTCCAAGACGTCGTCGCTGTAACCCTGGCTAAATGCCTACTATCCACACGATAATTACAAGCATAAACGTTTTGCAGACACGTAAGGGTACGGGAAAGGATCACCACAATTTGGCTTGACTTGCCTAATATGGACGATATGGTGGAGCCCATGGCCCTTGTATGCTTCTTTGCCTACTTGCCAAGTCAAACCTCCTCATCATGGTTGTCATGTGTGGCTGGCGATGGCAAATCGTGCTATTAGGGGGCCGAAAGTCCGAAAGCCCATTGTCTAGAACGTTCATTACGACAGGCTCGGATCTCAACGCGCAAGAAGCTATACTTGGCTAACATGGATTAGTCTCGGTCACCATTCTCAGTTCGTCATTGAGTGACCGATGGGATACTGCAGCCAAGGAGGAAAAGTTGACAGACGAAATGAAGAAATTAGACTCTCTTGGTAAGTGAAGTGATTTGTATCCATGGCTTTCCAAGTTTTGAAATGGTGTCGTGTTGTGGTCGATAGCATCACTGCGCTCAGTACAAATCCGCATTGGTAATACCGAGACTTCTGGGAATACCCGCTACCGAATTGTCTACTTGAGTAACGAAAAGACTGTTCAATATTTTTGAGAGAATCTTTGATAGATCACCTGAAGAAATAAGTCTGGAAGTATACGCGAACTGCTTTGATGTCGTCAAACTTCACCCGTGCCTCATCAGTGCTCCGACGTGGAAAATGACCGACACACACCAAATCAACCCCCATACAGGAGGCGAAAGCTCCGAGAATACTGTGGCGCGCAGCACACCCTCTTGAATCACGCCGCAGGTCTGTTGATTGGCTTAAATATTTCCATCCCACCGGGAATCATTTTCTCAATGCAGTCGCCTGCAGGAAGCATGATGCTGCCCCTGGCCACATCGGTGAACCGTTCCTATGAGACTTCTTTCCGTCGAAGAAGGTGGACTGTGAAACGGTCTCTGCAACCAGAATTCGAAAATTCCGTTGTCTACGGAAACCAGGGACGGGATGTATGTGATCGCATAAAGCTCCCTGCAGCACAAATCCTGCGGCCAGATCGGTAGCAGCCTCCCGCACCACTCGGTTAGCAACAGGCTAATAGAGTTGTTCTGCAACGTTGTCTGCACAGTTGTGATTTCTCTCGTTGGTCACAGAATAAACGATCGCAGTCAGGAAGTGAACATATAACCAGCTCATCACCTCGTGTCATGCTTTCCGCTAGTCATTGGTCTTGAATTTTGTTTTTGCATGTGCATTTACTACTAGATTGATTGGCGCATATGCGCTACTTCCTTGGCCATCATGTCCTCGAATCCACCACCGGCCACGCCGCCGAAGCCGATCGACCCTGAGTGGGCCGCGGAGAGCAATACGGCCATGATCCTGGGCGTCACTGGGGGATTTCATGCGCTTGCTCTCCTTTTTGTCGCCTTTCGAGTGTATACCCGGATGTTCGTTGTCAAACTCATGGGGAGAGATGACTATGTCGTTGTAGCTTCTGTGGTGAGTCTGACATGATTCGGTTGACTGTCAATAATAGGCAGTCTGATTGACCTGAGAATAGCTGTGTGCCGTTGCAGGCATGACGATCTTTTCGGTACAATCCTTCCATGGTCTCGGGAAACACACCATGACTATTGCCGCGGAAGACATGCTCATCATGAGGAAATCGAGCTTCTTTCAATCTATCATCTCCTCGATTGCGGGTCTGGCTCTCCTAAAAGTCTCGATTGGTCTCTCGCTACTTCGACTGAGTCGCAGCGTTTGGTACTCTCGCTCCTTGTGGGCATTGATTGGTATGTTGCCAGCTCAGATCTAGATTCCAACCTAGTGCCTGACCAAAATCCATAGTATTTGTCTCAGCCTACAGCATCATGGCATGGATGACTTTCTTCTTCTATTGTCAGCCTCTTGAGGGGTACTGGAACAAAGTCATTCAACCAAAGTGCTACCCAATCACGCTCTTCATCAAGTTTGGGCTTATCAATACTGCTTTCAATATTTTCACAGACGTCTGCTTCGCAACGCTACCGGTTACTATCATCTGGACTCTGCAGATGAAACGTCGGACAAGAATCTATTTAGTGGTTGTGCTGAGTCTTGGATACTTGTAAGACGATGGTTTCGTACCAAATGACGGAATCTTATCAAGTACGCTGACACTAAGTAGTACTGTTGCCATGGGAGTTATCAAGTCAATCTACCAGATCGCCTACGGGAAGGACCAAGACAAGACCTTGTAAGTGATCCAAGTCGCGCTGGAAAGAACAACCCTTATTGACTGTGCCAAAGCTACCAGAGCATTCAATTCTGGGAGTTGTAAGTATTGCCGTGTCTCTGAAACATATCCAGGTAGATACGTAGTGCTGACTTGCACAGTCTCCAACTCAGCCTTGGCATCATCGCTGCGTGTGCACCATCCCTGAAGCCTCTTGTTGGCCATGCTCTCAAAATCTCATCAAGCGACCGTTACCATGGAGAACTGTACGAGAACCGGCGACCGACAGGAACCAATTCATCAATGCGGCGACGCGGATACAGAGAACAAAACAGTCAAGCGGAGTATGAGTTGCAGGACCGCCCTTTTGCTGGATCCCCGGATGCTCACAAAGCTGCCGTCGGTAACAGTCACGACACTGTCTACGAGAAGCACGGTGGGAGGGGCTCTGGATCTGGGAGTGAAGAGATGATTCTGAGAGAGGATAAGAGTAATACAGGAATCATGCGAACGACAGAAATCTCAGTACAGCGATGAGATGATGAGAAGTGTGGCTTTCTGTACAGTAAAATAAGTGTTTATTCCCACAAAGTATCTACCATTCAATCTGTAACCCGTTTCTGCCTATGAACTTGCCGACCTCACCGTCTCTTTTTCCTTCGACAATCTCAAGCAGCCCCTGGGCGCTGGTGTTCGGGTCGTCGGCGCCCTGGTCAAGTCTGGTCTGGCGGTCCTCTTCGCCAGTCAGGTTCGTGACTACATACCCCGGGCAATACGCCCACACCTTCGCACCCCAGCTTCTGTTGTCAAACATGATGTGAGCCGTAGCCATGTTCAAAGCCGCCTTGGAGATGCGGTACGCTTCGCTTCTGACCATATAGTACTCAGAGGTAGGGTCTGTCCGTTCCGCCAGCGAAGATAGACTGGTCGACACATTGATTATGCGAGCATCGTTCGATTTCTTCAAGAGAGGTATCAGAGCCTCTGTGAGGACGAGCGGAGACGCTGCGTTGGTATTAAATGTCTCAACAAGCTCGGAACGCCGGTCTTTGGGATTTGTGATGATCATGCCGGCGTTGTTGATGAGGACGTCTAGCACGCCAAATTTTGCGGCGATCTTCTCGGATGCTGCTTTGATGGATTCATCTGAAGTGATGTCGAGGACGAGCAAGCTGAGAGTGCCGACGGGGTTTTTGGCCTGGAGTTCCTCGAGAGCCTTAGCACCCCGTTCCGGGTTTCTGGAGCCAATGATGACATGATAGTCGGCTGAAGCGGCGGCAATTGTTGCAGCGCTTTCGAAGCCAATGCCTTGATTAGCACCTGTGTGACTGTCAACATATGGTCCAGAAAAGTGCATGACTTCTTAGTCTGCAAGCCAGAGAATTGCGGTGCTACGAACCGGTGATCAGGATGATTTTCTTCGGCGTCATGGTTTCGCTGAATTGGTTTGTTTTTAGGTTTATTCGAGAGGTGGTGTTACTCGTGGTGGAGGCTTGATTGAAATGCTTGGAATGATATAGGGACTTTGAACAAGATTCATCTGTATTTATGCTTCGTTTTGCTTGCCATGGAGAGGAGGCACCGTAAAACCTAAAACCGTCGTCCCGATCGTAATACATAACGGCTTCGGACCAACGATTAAGCTTAACTCCGCGCGTTCCTGGCTTAGCATCAAGCGGTAATCATGGACTTTGGGAACGAATCAAAAGCCCTCTTACGTAGGCCAGGAACGTCAGCCACTCTACGTGCGTCGGAACATTGAAGTGCGAAAAGGCCGACTTGACCAATCAATGAGTTTGATATTATTTTGCTTTCCCTTTGCTAGAGCCGTTTAGAGACGCTTGTTCTATGACGTCGTTGCCGTCCTTATGCCCGGACCAAGCTCCGAATGCCAGCCTGGACTCCGGACTTACTGGATTAGGAATGTTTGTCTCCGCGCCATTCACATTACCGTGCCGCAAACATGAATCTTCCGCCTGTTCACCATAGTCACTTTCAACTGCGTTGTCAAGACAGTATATGTCTCAAAATGTCATTTGAAGAGTGGAAGTGAGACCCTTACACGGGGTCTAGCTTTGTGGCCATCCAGATAAGCGTGCCCAACTCATCGTGATCCAGGCACCAATCATCAAGGTCAGTCGCCCAGCTCCTTCCTGCCGAGGAGTCTCCTGGATATTTGGAATACTCCCGAAGGTGCGCAATCCTGTAACAGTCTCGGAGTTGTCGTTTAGAAAGCTGCTTCGCGTATTGGCGCTGCCACTCAAGATTTGACTTGGCCGTCCAAAGGCTGCGGGTGCTGGGAAGGTGTACTCTTCGGCATGGCCCGCCACCATTGCCAGAAGAAGGAATTTTTGCGATGTGGAGAAGTTCGTTCAGTGCATAGCAGAAGGATGTCACTCTGACAGAACGTGTCTGTTAGTGGGAAACAACAAGTCCGAATGCAAGGGGCTTCTCACCTCCACATGCTTTGGTTGCATATCCATTCATGCCGACTAGGAACCTCGTCGGTTTGGTGACAATAATCCATATCTCGGACGTTCATCATCGAGAACGTCATGGTCTGCGCGTTCATCTTAAGCGTTAGTGACAACATGAGTGACGATCAGTTGAAGAGAGAGACTTACACCTACGGTGATGAGAAGAGATCTAACATAATGTTTTGGAATCGACGCGACTTCTTCAATGTGAAGTATGGTGTATAAAACAGCAGCCTGGACAGCAGCTATCAGAGTCTCCTTTTCGTAAGACTCATGCTTCAAAGGCACCGGAATTAGCGACTAGTGACAAGTATGCAGATGCTAATAGTCATTGCAAGAACGCTAAAGGCAACTTACTTCGTGAAGGAGCTTCTGTTGCTCCATGTAGATGGTCCTCCATATGAATGCCTTGTTGTCGGGGCTGTTTGCTTGCCACATTCGAATGATGCTTGCGCATGCTACCAAAGGTTGCGGGAGGCATTGGTGAGACCCGGACTCTTGGCACTGTCGTTCGTCGCCGCAGCATGGCGGACTGATGAAGGGTGGCAGATTGAGGCCGTTGATCAGCATTTCGGGATATGTTAGAATATCTCCTCGCATCATTCTGGATGTCATAGAAGACTCTATGCTTCGCCATTTTCGCGGTCGGAGCAGAAGGCTATTGTCCACAAGCATGGAGGGCTCAAAATTTGCCCGCCTGGATATTTCGGTGTTGATGTCGGCGATGAGATCGGTCACAAGATCTGGATTGATATTGATGTTTGGTGCTGCCGAGGGAATGTTCGTGTAGTTGGAGAAGGCATCACCAGTCCAAGGAGTGTTATCATTCAACTCAGCTGTCCACCCGAAATCTTGGATATCATCGGTAGCGGCGACGTTCTCAAACACGCTGGCTACTTGTGGGCGGCTGAGTTCCGCTGGATTGAATGTGCTTGTCGGCGCGACAATCGGATCATCCGATGCAGTCTCTTCAGAGACATGTCCAGGCGTGTGTAAGAAAGGTTCCTGGCCTTGCTGGGGCTTATCGGCTTGAGGCCGTGGAGTCTTCGACACGGGGGAGTAGCGACATGGCCAGCTTCGGCGCTCGCACCGGGAGCACCGTGGCTGCTTCCGATCACAAGCTAATTTCGAAGATCTGCATTGATGACACGATTTTCGTCGGAAGTTGGGCATACTTGAGGTTGTATGGCTGGTTCATCTGCACTCAGTGACAGGAAGGGAGCGCGTCAGATGATCCCGTCGGCAACTGCGGGATCTCGTTGTTGACACTGTATTTGTTTGAAACAGTGGGGCAATTCGGCTAGGAAGCCAATTACAGCGCGATATTGCTAACTATAGCAGAAGGTCTGCCTAACTACTCCAACTGCAATGCTTGAAAGCTGTGACCTCCCCTGATAAGGCTTTGAATATGAGAGATCTGTTTGACAACAGTAGTTTAAAAGAGCCCCTACCACATTGACATCAATTTTGTTAAAAAACAAGACCATTAAAGAATACTTATCTTTACATGCAGCCAATGGCCACAAGTGCCCTCCATGACACTAAGAGGCAACCAAACGAATGCAAAAACTAGACCAGTCTCCTATTAGGGAAGTCTTCAGAACCCTCCACCATTTCTCGTAAATCCATCATTCTTAGATCCTAGAGAACTCGCGAGTGTGTCTTCGACGATACCAACCATTCGCCCTATCATTTTCACTGCCATTCAATAAGTAACTTGTGTTGCGCTTTCCCTGAGCGCGCAGTTCGGCATCCCAGACATCGGCAATGTCAGTAATGACCCACTGGAAGCCTTGTTTGAAAATCCAGTCAAAGTCGGATCGGTAGTCATGTCCATCGAGCGACTTAATTCCCACAAGTGAGTCGAGAAGTGCTGGGGCCTTGTTCTCCTGGAAGACAAACACCGAGTTGTTGGTGTGAATATCGTCTGGGATAGTATAATTCGCTGTGTCGAACCGCGTAAGGTCTGAGGTGATGAAATCAACCAGGTCTCCAGCGGCGTAACTGGAGCTCCGTTAGTTCATTAGGGTCCATCTATATGTGTAAAGTACGAGACTCACAAAATTCCAGATGTTCTGAAGGTGTCTTGTTCCGTTCCATTATGAACAATATAGTCCTGGAGGGGCTGCAAAGGAGCACCGGTCGAATACACCTCAATCTCGGCGCTAATCGTGTAGTTCGTTGAGGCAAACTCCTTTAGTGAGGTAAGAGTATCCCATGAGGCTTCATCTTCAGGGTTGTAGACGGGGATGTAAGCAAGCTGAGTGCCAGAAGCAAACGCATCCTGAACCCATTCCAATGCCTCAAACTCCGCAGGGTTCTTCCACCACTTTGCTTGCAACTTGTAGATGCACCACTCGTTCGCAGGTACCCCAGCGCGATTTGTGAGATTCTTCAAAGCCCAATACGCCGGCTCAACTGCAGCTTGCTCCTTGAAGTCAAGCTGCAGCACGACGTTGGCTCCAGTTTCGTAGATGCTGTGAACCATCTCAGGCAGCGTAGGAACTGTCTCCACGTGGACTCTACCCTGCTCGTCTCGGAGGTGAAGGTTCGCGATGAAGCCCGTGAAGTTGTGCTCGCTGACAAGCGGGTTATACCCCTGACCAGTGAATGGGTTGTATGCTGGCTGTCCCGTCTGCTCACCAACGTCTGTTGTACGGCCAAGCCCGCCATCGTGGATCATGGGCAGGTGGCCATCTAGTGAGAGGTGAATATCCGTCTCAATGCATTCCAACCCGGCTTCGGTGGCTCGGAAATAAGCATCCCGAGAGTTTTCGGTAGTCCCGTTCCATCTGGAGAGTATTAGTACGTCATTTTATCGGTTTCTCTGCGGTGAATCTCACTTCAAGCCTCTATGAGCGCAGAGGATGGTGAGGTCATCGTGCGGGTGACGAAAAGCGTCGATAATCTTCCTCACATCGTAAGGTTGACGAGCCGCGAATACTTCGGGCAACTGAAAAGTCAAAGTACACAAAACTGCAGCAACTTTGGAGAAAGACGACATTTTGAGTCTTGGGCACCCGTGGACCTGGGGAAAACATGACAACAGGGGAGCTTTTCCTTTAGAAATTACCAATGTCAAGAAATTAACCGATGGTATTTATACAGTAACGTCCGGTCAAACCGGAAGGATCGCGGGCGTGCGGGACCGGTCCTAGTATCAATAACACGTGCGGCGGCATGGACATTGTGATAGGACAACGGCGCCGCTCCAGTCCGGATAAAGCCCGCGAGCGCCGGGATCAATTCTTGACATTATCTGTCTATGGTCTCTCGCGAAAACCACTCAATTGAAGCCCCAAGTGGGACGAAGTTCGATGGCAAAAGTCTGATTTGAATTCTAGGTATAATTTGCTCTCGTTCCGACATGGTCTGTGTAGGTTGAGGGAGTGGTGGCCCAGGGTGAGGATGCCACGCTAGAAACACTGTCCGAGGGACCACTCATCCTGAGAGAATGCAAACAATTGAGACGACGAAGTGACTGAGAAGGATTGAGAATCTTTCTTATACCTCAGAAGCCTTCAACTTCTGTAGAGTAATCAATTGATTACTCAACTCACGAATCACGACATTAAGAACCGAATGCGAAAGCCGATGTTCAAAGGAAATCATCGTGCACAGATGGTATCGTGTTATTCGGAAGTGGGTACCCCTCTCGGCATTTCATCATGCTTGATTGGCAGGCCAGCAAACGAAACCCCGACGACGACGAACCGCTCCATAAAACTTCGGGGTTTCCAAGCAATTCCGTCAGTTTGCGCGAGGTAAGTGGCTCAGGTCTGTTCCGTTGACGTGGAAGTCGAGAGCCCTTGAAAGTGGTGATCATGAACCGTGTTCAAAGTCCATGTCGGGAAGGTTTCGCCTTCATGTCAAAGTCCCGGGGCTTCCTTAGAGTAATCAAACTGACGATGGAAAGCACATATAAAACATTGCGAGCTCAGTTGCATGTTGAAAAATTGAAGTCTGGTTCATTATCGATTACTTCAATACATAAGCCATTCATTCAGCATCCTCAACCGCTATAAAATTCCCTCTTTACCGGAACCCACGAAAATCTGTCAAGATGGCTGCTATCGACGCGATTGCGAGCAAGTATGAAGCCGAGCGCGAGAAAAGATTCAACGCCATCTCGGCCGGAGGAGGAGGTCGCCTCAAATTCAGAAGCAGCGCCCTCATGAACGACCTCGACCAAGACCCGTGGGCCGATTACGACAACCTCGCAAAGCAAACCCCGCCATTGCAAGACGGGTCTGAGATTCGCTTTCTAATCCTCGGCGCAGGTCATAACGGCATCTTGTTCGCCTATCATCTGATCGCTGCCGGCTTCAAGGCGTCTGAAATCGTCATCGTGGATGGGGCCGGCGGTTTCGGAGGCACATGGTACTGGAATCGTTACCCGGGGTTGACCTGCGATGTTGAGGGGTACTGTTACCTGCCGCTCCTCGAGGAGACAGGATTCGTGCCCAAGCACCGCTACTCCAAGGGCGAAGAGATTCGCCAAAATGTTGAGGGCATCGCCGAGAAGTTCGGCATCCAGGGCATGTTCTGCACCAAAGCAAAAAGTGCAGACTGGGATGAAACTCAGAAGCGATGGAATGTCAAGCTGAGCCGCGACTTGGGACCGAACCACCAGGATCTGAGCGGCGACTTTGTCGTTCGTGTTCAATTCCTTATGCCTGCTGGCGGTCTCTTCTATTCCCCAAGCGCGCCTGACGCTCCCGGCCTCGAGGGGTTCATGAAGAATCGCGAAATCTTCCACACGGCTCGTTGGAATTATGCATACACCGGCGGATCCCAGTCCAAGCCCGACTTGGTAAACTTGCAAGACAAGAGGGTCGGCATCATCGGCACCGGTGCCACGGCAGTCCAGGTGGTCCCCGAACTAGCCAAGTGGGCAAAGCAACTCTACGTCTTCCAGCGCACCCCGTCCTACTGTGGCCCCAGGGAACAGGTCGAGACAACTCCTGAGAGCTGGGCAAAGGTTGCTGGAGAGCCGGGCTGGCAGTCTAAGAGGGTGAGAAACTTAAACAAGTACCTCAACGATCACCCCGAGGCGGTTCCTGAGGATGATCTACTCAAGGATGGCTGGAGTCGTGCGCGCCAATTCTCTGGACTTATTGGCAGCCCCCGAGCGAAGGATATCACGCCCGCCAAGGTCCCTGAGCATCTGAAGCGGATGATGGAGCTAGATGCAGGAATTGCAACTGATCTTCGGAAGCACGTCGACCACGAGGTGGACGATCCGGAGGTAGCTGAGAAGCTCAAGGCCTGGTACCCTGGCTGGTGTAAGCGTCCGACTTTCCACCAAGACTACCTCAAATCCTTCAACCGCCCCAACGTCACGCTTGTCGACACCGACGGCCAGGGCATCTCCGGTTATACCGACGGTGGTATCTTAGTTGGAAAGGGCGAATCGGCCAAAGAGTATGAAGTCGATGTGCTCGTGCTGGCTACTGGCTTTGCAACCACGACTGGTGTAGATGGAGACCCTGCCCAGGTCCTCGACATGCCCATCCGAGGTCGCGATGGCCGCAGCTTGACGGACAAGTGGAAGGCCGATGACTTTGCAACCTTCTTCGGCGTCGCCACCCACGACTTTCCCAACCTGCTGTTCTACACAGCCAAGGGCGCCACGGGCTCGGCGAACACTACATACCCGCTTACCATCGCAGCAAAGACGGTTGCGCACATCGCGAAGACGGCGGTGGAGCAGGCTACTGATGCTAGCCGGCTTGAGGTGGAAGTCAGCAAGGAGGCAGAACAACGCTACACCGAGAGTCTGAAGCCATACAGCCCGTGGTATGCTACTGTGGCATCTTGCACTCCCACATATTTTACGGATTACAGAGACCCGACCAAGCCAAAGAACCCCGAGAACAAGAAGGGACCTACGGTGGGATGGAGTCTGGGCACAGTGGCATTTGAGGAGGCTGTTGACAAATGGATCGACGGTGGTTTGGAGGGTTTCGCTGTTCGGGGCTGAGTAGAAGTCATCCAGACTGAGATAGATCAGTAGACCTACCTTTAGACTCAGTCTTTGCAATTGGTTTTCGGGCACGGTTAGAATAGACGATTGCCTGAGCTTGGTTGCTGTATTGATGAACCTTTACGTCTCTTCGCTATGCATGTAGTCAAATATGTACCTCTATCTTTGTTCACAGTCATATGTTTATATCATCCCAGCGACAACTCATACTCGTCCGACTTGGATCGGGTCGGCCGTCTGGGTTGACGCTGCCGGCGGTGCTGGAGGATTCGATGTAGGGCAGAATTTCTTCTTGATAGCTTCGGCATTCCCAGCAGCATCAAGTGAACCCAGCAAAGTCCCGAGCTCGCCCATTCTCTGGGCAATAGAGACGAACATGCCAGCTACGGATACGAGTTAGCAACTATTACTCGGGACCAACGATGATCATAAAACTTACCTTCAGCGTGCCAGAGGTAATGGCAATGGAACGCCCAGACACCAGGGTTATCTGCCAGGATGCGTATGACAATGTGCGAAAACCCAGGGATGGTGACGGTGTCTCGCCGCATGGGGTTGTCAAAATTCCACGTCGTTCCACTCTGTCCAAATAAGCCGTGACCCCAGCCAACGATTTGGAAGTTTTGGCCGCTATTGGTGTGTTAGCTACAATCATCGCGATCGATAGATCCCAGAAGACTTGACTTACTGCAAGTGCCAAGGGTGAACCATCATAGCATCAGAATTGACCACGATCTGGGCCGCCTTGTCATCCTTGGAATACAGAACAAATTGATCTTTGCCAAAGTCCAACTTCGGGGTCGGTGAGTTCAGGTTTTCCAGCGACATGTCCTGGCCCATGACCTTCCACAAGGTCGCGTCATCCTTAAGTGGCGTGAAGAGGGTCTACTAATGTCAGTCGCTGTTCGCAGTTTCCATGTATGGTGACTTACATCATTGACGTGAGTGCGCACGACATCCCCAACCTTGTCCTGTCGGAAGGTGAAGTAATGGAAGTTTCTGTCTCCAGGAATGTACGCAGTCCTCTTCCTCATCGGCTTGGGCAAGTTGAAGGGCAAGTCTTCGCAGTGGCTACCCCAAGGCTCCTTGCCGAAGCCAGGGCTCGAAGTGGCCTTCAGATTCCAGGCCTGGCCCATCGGCGGGACGCTAATGTCCGTCTCGTCGTACGACAAGATTGCGGTGGCCCCGAACGGGGCGCCGTGCATGCCGGATTTATGATTCTTGTGCGACATGTGGAAACACCTGACAGCGGCGTCCGCACGAATGAGGTAGTTGCCAGCGGTCTGGTTGGCGTTGACGATAACGGAGTAGCGCTGGCCAGGGTTCATGTACACACGGGTGGTGGCGATGGGGTTGACCTCGACTCCATCAATTTCGACAATTTCCATGGTGTGGTTGTCGACCGTGACAAAGATCGGGGTTGACGTGCCGTGGTTGATGAGACGAAGACGAGACTTGGATCCGCTCTTCACGCGCGTGTTGTGCAAGGTGCCCCAGGTGCACTTGGATGAGTCGTCTCGCTTTGAGCTGTGGCCTCCCATCTTGTGGCCGTCGTGGTCCTTCATGTCGGTCATGTCCATGTCCGCCATGTTGTGTTCGCCACTACCCTTGTCGCTGGCCTTGTCGGTGCCTGCGCTGTGCTCGGCGATGCTGGAGCAGTTGAAGGTGTTCTTTCCGTTGATGATGACGTTGTCTGGCGGAGGCTCTCTGCCAGGCTTTGTAGGTGCCCAGGGAGGTGTGGCACTCAAGTATTGATTGAGGAGCTGTGATTCATGTGAGACCCAGATCGTTCATGAGTGAGAGGTGAGTTGTTGGGCTTACGTTTCCTCCGTACTCATGGAACAAGTCACCAACCATGAGAATCTTGTCATCATCAACTGCCGGAATCTTCTCATCCGGGTCATGAATGATCTGGTCATGGATTAGCTCATAGCCCTGAGGGGTATAGATTCATGTGACGGCTCATACCAAGGGTCCAAATAGTCCATCAGTGACCTGAACGGTGACATGGGCATGCCACCAAAACGTCCCTCGTTGGTCAGTGAGGTTGAACTGGTAAGTGAAGCCTTGACCAGGAGGAATCGCGCATTGGGTAACGCCATGAACGCCATCCATCCAAGGTGTGTTCCTCTGGTCGATACCGTGCCAATGAATGGTCGTGCTTTCCTGTAGCATCTGGTTGTTGACGGTTACACGGACTGTGTCGCCAGTGTTTGCCTCAATGAGCGGTCCGGGGGACTGTCCGTTGATTAAGATCATCGATTTCTCGAATCCATCAGGTGAGTGCGACTGCCTGGTAATGTTGAAAACATATTCGCGTAGCGTCGTCGCGTTTGATACCGCAAATCCAGTTTTCAAGTCGAACTGTTGTTCAGGCGTCAACTTGACCTCAGGCGTCTGCGTGGGGACCAAGCTTGTTGTCGCGACAATCGTCGGCGTGACTTCTGCCACGGGCTCCGGCTCGGGCGTCGGGATGGGCTCATCCTGCTGTTGCTGCTCGCCGGCGTGGTTGTCCTCCTCGCCGTGGGCCTCTTCCGGCGGCGCCGCCTTGCTCTGTACGTTGAAAAACTGAAGGAAGATGAGACCGAAGAGCAACAGCATCGACAGGCAAGTGAGACCCAGAATCCACTTGAAGGACCTCCTCCCCGCAGGGCGTCTGTAGGCCGCTTTCTCATCGAACTCGGCGGAGCTGGACAGGAGGGTGTCGCTCGGTCGGCTCTCCACGTCGGAATCCACGGACGATCGGCCCCCCAGCATGGGCTCATGCTCGCGCGTCCCGTCCCGCGGGACCAGTCCGGAGCTCATGGCGGTGGTGGTAATGTACAAGGATATAAAGAAGGAACGAAAAACAAGATTGCTTGCAAATTTACAAAGAATGGGAATGTCAAGGCCGGATTGCGCGAAATGAAACGGGACCAGCAGCAGGCGCTCAGGTCTACATGCGATGGGAGGTCGCCATCGACTTTTCGAACGATTGTTAACGGGAAACGCAGGGAAACGCGGAAACACGTGGTAAAAGGGGCAAAGGCCGGATAAGTAGAAAAAAAGTGTCCACTCAACGATGAAGGGATCCTCTCTTTTTGCTTATATCCGAGTCGTAAGACGCTCGGCTGATAAGGGGCGATGGAACGCTGAGACGTCTGCTAGGCGGAATCGGGAAATGAGCCTGGGCGCTTAGCAACTCGTTTTCTGCAACTCCCCTTTTGTGAGCTTGATGGTCTGGAAATTTCGATGTGTCTGAAGCATGAAACTTTGTGTGAAATGAACGCCCGATTGTGCCGAGACATTTGAGTTTCTGTCAGAGGAAACTCAGGGATAAGTTGGCATGAACGTCTCGGACTCTTTGATCGTCCGGCGCAGTTCTCGATATGCTTTCTCAGCGGCCACTGCTTAAATGCTTTACTAAAGTTCAAGTATGCTCTTCCGCGCGGAGAGTTGCAGGGGTCGTTGTCTCCGTGATCTGCAGCCCGGGGCGCAAATCTGACCACCAACAGCCACTAAACCGCCTGCCAATCTAGCGCTGGTTTCATCCCTTCCCCGTGTCTTCCTTGGGATGTTTCACTCGCACGGTGTTTGCCCGCAGGCCTACAAGACCCCGGGTTGTTTTCATCAGCGCATGCTCGTCAACAGAAAGCATGGAACTGAGTTTTCGACTTATTGAGAATATCAATTGTACTGCCGTTATGAATCTTTCTTCAATAGTCAATAATCGCAGCATATAGACATAGGTAGGCATACATGAACCGGTACTACAACCCGCACTTGCCACCAAAAGCCTGTTGGCCTCTTGGTGCAACCTTCACAGAGCGAATGCCTCCGTTGGTCTTCTTAAGATGCGATTTCAGCCCGTGGGACCCTTTTTGAGCCGCATATCCTTTGGCACAAAAAGCTTCGCACATGGCAGCATGCTTATGTTGTAGTTTTGGAGCGAGTATCATGTTGGTAGATATTAAGTTGTCAGCTTGTCTTCGTCTTCTTTCGCTGTCCACTGAAGTCCAACGTGTCCCATGAGGCCGTTAGTACTAATAGTTCAAAATCGAAACAACGTAGAGACCTCGCATGCGAGCCAAGACGAGCTCAGAGAAAAGATTATACGACGCGAGCAGATAAAAAGATTTGAAGCCTTCGCATCGTGTGGGTGCAAGAAGTTAGTGTTAGGTAACCCCAATGGAGTTGCGATACAATGTTCCGTGGCTTCGACGACAATTACAGCGAAAACCCCATGTTGTCAAGAATTTTGACATATCCGGGCTTTCTATCGCTATTTTGAGAGTCAGCCCTATGTAGGGCGGTGGGGGACTCATTAAGCATGTTGGATCCAGCGGCAGCAACCGAAGTTGGCATCGATTCGAAATTAGATGTCTCCGCAGGGATGTGCAGCCGCAATGAATACCCACCATCTCTCATCGCGGACGCTGATCATAGAGGCAGTAGCTTTCCCTGACGAATATCGTGATCTATCTCTATAAAAGCGTCTCAGACCCTCCCCAATTTTGATGACCAGAGTCAGCAGTACTCACTTCGTTTCGACGTCACTTGGTTTTCTACTATTCCCATACTCATTACGCCATAAAGCTATCACCATGTTAGTCAAAACCCTTCTCATCTCGGCCGCTGTCATCGCAGTTGCATCTCCTGTCGCCGACGTTTCGGGTGATTCCCTGGTCACACCCGTATCCGAGATGCATGGCGGTCTTCAGTTTCTTGAGGCACGCAAGGTCTGCGCTGCTGGCTACCTCGCTTGTCACTACAGATACGGCTTCGGGGACCCGGACCAGGCCGAGTACACTTGCATGTCTCCTACTTGCGCCTTTCTTCGGGACTGCAACTGCCCCCATACCGCCTCCTTCAACCAGAAGCCTGCGTTCCTCTTCACCAAAGGCTGTCGCTCCAAGGCTGCGGCTCGCAACCACCCCAAGTGCTTTGTCGTAAGCTAGATGACAACGATAGAATAATCATATTGGCAACAGTTGAGTTGAGATCTGCTTCTGTAGTATATTTCAATACTCCTAAGGTGGAGTTGGTGTATCTACCTAGGACACGGAAGATGATATTAACCAGGCGTAAGAGCACAACGGCCCCTCAATGCTTCTACCGCTCGCAAGTTCTTTTGGTATTTGTAGAAAATCAAGGCAGCAACTTTGGTACAAACTACAAAAAATTTTCTATCATCTCATAGGAAACTAAACCAACACGTTGTGTCTTTCTCATCCATGATTTCGAAGTTGCATGTGCAATACCTACCTCCCTCGCCAGAGGACTAGGAAAAATTCACCTAGTACTCATAACACACCATAAGAGCACTTTGAACCGTATTCTCTCACAGCCAATTAAAGTAGTACGAAATCTGGGCTCGTTTGTGCTGCGGCTAAAGACCTTCTGAATATCTGGCGCAACCTCTTCTCATCCACAATTGTCCATCAAATCTTCAAGAAACAGGAGGGCTCACTATAAAAGAGACTTGTAAAAAGGCTGGTGCAAGCATACTTCCGTTTCAGATGTCGATAGGAGGCATGTAGCTCCGTTACGTAGAACCCAAACGTCCAATCACAGCCGAGCGCGCTACAAACGTACCAAGGCTAGCAATTTTCATTCTCAATAAGATGTATTCCTTCGAGGACAGATGCTATCTAACTAATTGACCGTTTGTATTTTATCAATTATCTGTTAGAAGGAGTTCGTACTTTTCTCAGAGTTATCCCTTGCACATTCCCACACCGAAAGATCCACCCCTCGTCTCTTCAAGTATTGTCTTATTTTCAACCGTATGCCTTCTTTAGCATAGACTCTACCAGGTAATCTTGAAGCGGTGTCTTCAGAGATTTGAAAGTCGGCCCCGTGCTTCTCCAGCAGCCATACAACGTCCATCCGGCAGTACACTACCGCAGTCCACAAAGCATTCAACCCAAAGCTTCCCTCTTCGACGAGACTAGCCCCACAGGTGACCCAAAGGTCTACGGCGGTGCATAGTCCCATCATGGCAGCATATATCAAGGGCGTGTCTCCTTTGTGGTTTTTTGTATCAAGATCGGCTCCGAAACGAAGTAGGTCCTCCACCACAAAGATGTTGTGGACGCTGATGGCTTGAAATAAGCCGGTAGGATGATCAAGGTGGTCTATCTTGGCGCTGAGGTCGGCTCCTCGATCTGTCAAAAGCTCCAAAGTTTCTGTCATCTTTTCCGGTGAAGGAGATACCCCGCGTATCCACGAATGTATGCAAGCTGGGACAATTTGGGCTGGGATCTTGGCACCTATGTCCATCAATGTGCGGGACATCTCCACATCCCCCTGACACACTGCGATCCAAAGCATGTCCATCAATTTGCTTGTCATCTTCACATCCCCTCCACAGACTGCGATAGACAGGGGTGTTTCGTCATCAGGATCGTGCATTGCAACTGCATGTAACCTATCTTGTACAAGGATTGTGATAGCGGAGGTGCTTCCTTGGTTAACTGCGTATTGGAGCAGTGAAATCTTATCCCAGTGCGACAAGCCTCTGTTGAAGTTGCACACGGCGTGAAAGATTGCTCCGAACAGATCATAGCGGTTGACCCTGATTGCGAACTCGAGAGCTGACCAGATGTCTCCACGGCTGTGCACACTCTCTGCATTGTATCGAGCCAGTAGTAAGTGTATGACGTCAGCTCGTTCGTGATCTGCTGCAATGCTTAAGGCAGCTTTAGCATGATTAACAGCTAAGTTTTCGTGGTCGATCAATATCCGAATCATGTCGATGGGCTTTTGTGTTGAAATAAGATAGGGAAGCGGAAGTTGCTTTGAAAATATTCGCTGGTTGACAAACAAGGATGGTGCTTCATGGAGAAGCCTTTGTACGATGAAAATTCCGTTTTCATCTTGTTCAATGCCCCACTCAAGTAGTGCCAGTCTTAAATATGGCAGCTTGTGACGGAACTCCTCCAAAGTCCAAGCTGGCAGACAGAACATGTCGGGAATTGGGATTTCTCGAAAAGCCAGAAAGAAAACCGTTTGCTGGATAGATTGCAGCATAGTTAATTCACAGTTTGGCAGGAGACGTTTGCCGTCTTTGGCACAGTCTGTCGATAGACCGAGTAGAGCAAAGATTTGATCGCGCGGATCTGTCGACTCGCTGGCACTGAACTTTTGCAGTACAATGCCAAGGTCTCAGGTATTGTTCCACCACGAGCTCTGCCTCAACGGGCCGGGCAGGACTTCGAGTAATGCTTGCGAGCGACCTTCCATGTCTATGTTCAAGAGATGTGGCATTATGCAAAACACCCTCGTGGGAACTGAGACCCAAGAGCATTGAATATAGGCTGTTTTGGCGTAGGCGGCTTCTTGGACAACCCATACTCTGCGAAACAAGGATCGGCTGAGCAACTCCTTCAACGCCCGTTGCCTGATTTCGTAAAAGTTAGGGTTAATGGTTCTCTTCTCTGAAATGAATTGACGGCCTTCGTCGATCCAGACCTTCAAATGTTCGGCGTTATTCGATGGTCTTGGACGTTGTCGCACTCTTTTGTCCAAAGCTTGAGTAGCTTCTAAAAGTAGTTCGATATCCCTAGTTGTCTTTCCGAGCCAGATGATGACAGCCCATGCAATTTGATAGATGACGCTCATCTTTGCAACTTGATGTGTGCGCTCGAAAGCATCTTGCTGGTTGATACACAAAGCGTCTACCCAGAGAATTCGATCCTTTTCAGGGTCCCTGAGATGCAAAAGCGCATCGTACAGATTAGTTGTGACCGCCACTTTCTGGTCGTTGATGGTAATTGTTTTGGTCCGTGTCGGATCCCCCCGAGTGTAAGAAAGCGCCTCATAGGTGTCATCTCGATCGTGTGGGATTTTTGCCTCGAATAGCTCACCGCAGATCAGCTCGTCATTGTAGTATCGCCGACCTTGAAACAAGCGGAGAAGGCGGATCGTGTTGGTGTTTGGGTCGATAGGCTGATAGTCATAGCTGGACATCGCTCAAGCTCAATCTTGGTCCAAGGTGAGTGTATACGATTTTGAATGAATGCAGAATGGATAGCTCAACAAAACATCAGGCAACTACAGGGCGGGGTAGTTGGGCCTGCAGTAGACATCAAGCGAGACCTGCAAGGTCATTGGCTGATATGCGAATCCACCAAAACAGGCGGGTTCCTGAATGCTTATCACGTGTATAGCATTGGATTTTCGCAACATAATTATTAATGTTCCTTATTGACGCAGCGTTTCTACGAGCCCGAGAGCCCTTGCTTTCGGCTTGACCTTGTATGTACACGCATTAGAGTGATGACTTGACCACCTAGGATAAGTGCCATCTGCACCTAGAACTGGAAGAAATTTGTACACTTCATGTCCGGAGGACCTACAAGATCATAACTTATCAGCTGAAGGAAGTCATCCATACAGATTCGCGGCGCTTGCAGGCACTTCAGGGATTATCTTCGGACAGAATTTCAATGCTTACTGGCTGATGCGGCACCAAAACGCAACTTAATAGAAAGAGATAACTTGAGAAGAATTTGCCGTTTAGTAAATATCAAAGTAAGGGGCATCAAGTAATACGAAGAGAGCTCTACTTGCGAGGGAATTGGCAAGCCTTTCTTCCGCAGACATGCCAGCCAAAAGTGTCACAAGACTGGCCTATCAGAAAGAATACTGAAAATATAACTGTACAGGTTGTGCGCAAATTCCCTCCTGAAAGCATCACTGACCTTCCCAAACAAATGCTGCAAGTTTCTCTCAGTCAGGCTTCAGTTGCCAATTTTCACCACCTCAGACGGGCAGGTTATCTTTATTTTGAGCTTCGACGTCATCTTGTGTCTTCCAATATTGGATGTGGGATTTTGTTGGAACTATGACATAATTACCTTGATGCTTCTATTAAATATCATGTTACGGAACAAATCAAGACAAGCCGTTCTGAGAATCATTAGTCACAGCTGGAATGGAGGAAACGGAACTGATTTCCAGTTTACGATGACCTGAATGCGACTTACATGACTCGGTCGACATTCAAACCAGACCATTAGATTTCTATCCTCACACACAAACCACAATAGCTGCTGAAAGCCTAGCCTTCCAATACGTCGGGGTTTTAGCCAAAGGAGGGAACAAGCCAAATGTTGCATGTGAAGCGAAGGATGCAGTCTGCTGCGCTGAGAGTAGGTTGACGAATCATTTTGGTGAGAACGATCGACCTAGACAGGGGTCGCTTTCTCACTGTATCTCCACAACTCCACAGTGACTTCAGTGAGTGAACTGGAGCGGCCGCCAGGACCCGTCCAAGATGGAACCCTGTTATGGGGAAGTTGGAACTGAAACCGAGGGATTGTCCCGCTACTAACACCTTCGCGGTTTGTAAACGGCCGATCGTCCGTCCGGGCGGAGTTTGACTTCCCCTCGTTCAACCCGCAACTCCGCTCTTCAAGTTAACTCGAAGTTACCAAAAGCTTTAAAAAGATCGTCATCCCTTTTAGTGTGGACCACATTCTTGTCTTCAACTTTTACCTCGCCAACATCAGTTTCTAACAACCCTAATCACCAAATCACTATGGCTCAAGCACACGGCACCTGCGACCCCAAGTTTGAACGGGTCCGCGCCAAATTCCAGGAGTTCGTGGAGTCAGGAGAAGAACTCGGGGCTTCGCTCACGGTCACTATCGTTGGCAAAGACGTTGTCAACATCTGGGGTGGATTTGCCGACGCAGCCCGCACACGTCCTTGGGAAGAAAACACCATCGTGAATGTCTGGTCATCAACCAAGACCATCTCCGCTCTCGCTATCCTCTTGCTCATCAACGACGGTCAACTATCTCCCAATGACAAGGTCTCCAAGTACTGGCCTGAATTTGCCGTCAACGGAAAGGAAGACGTTCTTGTCCGCCACCTGATTTCCCACACTTCTGGGCTGGCCATTCTCGAGGCGCCCGCAGTAGTGGCAGACCTCTGTAACTCTGAGCTCATGACCTCCAGAATTGCGCAGCAAGCTCCGCGCTGGACACCCGGCACGGCTTCCGGCTATCACTCCTGGACATACGGCTACCCAATCGCCGAGCTTGTTCGCAGAATCACGGGTTTGAGCCTGAAGGAATTTGTCGCTCAGAAGATTGCTGGACCCGTTGGTGCGGATTTTCAAATCGGTGCCAAGGAGAAAGACTGGCCCCGTGTTGCGGAGTTGGTTCCTCCTCCGCCCTTCGTTCCACCCAGCGAAGCGGAGATGCCCCCTCCCGACTCACTCATGGCAAAGATGTTCAACCCCTTCCCGGATGCCGGTTTTGGCAACTCGCCAGAGTGGAGGAAAGCTGAGATCGGAGCGGCAAATGGACACACCAACAGCAAGGGTCTTGCGACAATTTGGTCTAGGGCAGCTACAATCAGCGACGAAAGCAAGCGATTGCTGTCGAAGGAAACAATTGATCTGATCTTTGAGGAGCAGGCATACGGTACGGATCTGGCTATTGGTCAAGTTGTCCGCTTTGGTACTGGTCTGGGCATCAGAGGCAACGGAGATGCCATCATCGACTCCTGGATCCCCGAGGGTAGACTTTGCTTCTGGGGTGGATGGGGTGGCTCCATGACTGTCAACGACATCGACCGCCATATTACGATCAGCTATGCGATGAACAAAATGGACCCCGGCACTGCGGGCAACGCTGCTGTCAGAGAGTATGTGGCTCAGGTTTACGAGGCTTTGGGGGTGCCGATTCAACGAGACTCCACCAACGAGAAGATGAAGATGTGGAAGTCTTAGCTTAGGAGGTAGCGACTTAGATACTTGAGCGAATCGTTGGCTGGTTTTGTAACAAATATTTTATCGAGCGTGTGTGCCCAGAAATCAGGAAGAGAATATGGATGTCGCCTCAAGGGAGCACTTGACATTATAATATTGACTAGATGAATATACCACATCTTTGAACTCCACAACGCAGAAGCAGTGTTTTGAGAATATAGGTCCGAAATAGAGGAATGTCTGACAAGCTCACCAGTCAGCCTTTTGATCCCTACATCCCATCTGCAACTCATGTTACGGAGTTTGACGAGGCACTTTAGGAAATTAGGATGCATTGAGCATTTCAGAGCATCCTCAATAAGCAGAATTGTCTAGCAGGGCTTATGCACTACTGAAAACGCTGGCAATCATCTACCGACACTTTCAAAGATCGAGAAGGTGCATCTAGCGCTATCTTATGTCAGAACTCAATGCACGCAAGTCTCGGGATAGGTAATACCAGCCACCTTTACCGAGGCTGTCAGCATCGCACGATGGTTGCTTGGCTGTTGGCGATTTGTTGGTGGTCCCCATAACCCAATCTATTTTATCCGGGCTTTATCTGCGAGCCTTCCAATCGGCTTCGTATCTGATTCCAGGAGGTCCTCCGCAACCGGGTTCGCGACTGGTTCTCTTAAGTCATGCCCCTGGTCAAAGTAAGCAAAGACCTTGACGGTGAAGACCCCCGCGCGCACCATCCCTGTGGGATAGGGCTGGCGTATCCAGCAACTGGCGAGAGTCTCGCCGCCAGAACGAATTGATTACTTGGCGATGTTACATGCCTGCATGGCTAGTTCGCATTTCTAGGTCCGAATTCTCCACCTTTACTCGCTCGAATAAGCAAAATCATGTCGCTAATGTTTAGTTTCGGTCTTCTGTGCCTTCTTGGCGCTGTTCGGCAACCCGACGGGGAGGGTTCTTCGGACTCTGCATATATTCTCGTGTCACCTCTGTCCTGCTGCTTGCGCTGTTATCCTTCCTTCTTCTTCTTTGTTCGAACTATTCGGATCACTTCGCAGAAGAGAAGGTTTCGAGGTCCACTCGGTTTCCTCAAGATTGCTTGTAAAGCTGCCCGACAACATGAAGCCTTCGTTCTTTGGCTTCTTAGGCCTTCAAGTTGCCTTGCCAATCTTAGGCAGCCCAGTGCCTGGTTCGACGGGTCCCGAGGTGAGGCAAGCCGCTGATGATGGGTTTCAGCAGCTTGCATCACTCGCCCAAGCTGCCTACGACAAAACGAAGTCTGCAATTGATGCCAGCAAGACTCAGAAGCGCGCCGGTACTTGTGGTTGGCATAACATTCGAATTCGCAGAGAATGGTGCGTACGCACGTCTTCTTAGATTCTCCGTACACTAAAACCCGCAGGGGCGTCTTGAGCCGACAAGAAAGACTTGACTACATCAGTGCAGCCAAGTGCCTGCAATCGAAGCCGGCGCTGACTCCCTCGTCGGCGGCTCCTGGGGCAAAGACTCGCTTCGATGACTTCGTGGCTACCCACATCAATCAGACCCTGACTATACACTACACGGGGAACTTCCTCTCTTGGCATCGATACTTCACATGGATTTACGAAGAAGCTCTCAGGAACGAATGCGGATACAAGGGCACTCAACCTGTAAGAATCTTCTACCTTTGATGATGCTTTCCAGCTACTGACATCTTGCGACAGTACTGGGATTGGACTAAAACTGCCGTCTCGGGTATGGAAAAGTCGCCCATTTTCGACGGCAGTGAAACGTCAATCTCTGGTGACGGCGAGTTTATCCCTGACCGAGACGACATCATTCTCGGAGGTCAAAATGGCCTCCCTCCCATCAATCTGCCTGTAGGCACCGGTGGAGGCTGTGTGACCTCCGGCCCGTTTAGGAATATGTCGGTCAATCTTGGTCCTGCGGCACTTGACCTTCCCGGGGGTGTTTCCGAGGCCAATCCGGACGGTCCTCTGTCTTACAACCCTCGCTGCCTCAAGCGTGACCTCACCACTGCTGTCAATCTTGCATACGCCAACATTACGGCCGTGGTCTCAAACATCCTCAAGCCACAGAACGTTTACGACTTCCAAATGCAAATGCAGGGTGTTCCTGGCTCGGGTAACATCGGTATTCACGGTGGTGGTCACTACGCCCTGTAAGTCTTGTCACTGAGATCAATCAACTTTGTCATCCGTGACTGGCTAACAAAATGAAACAGCGGCGGAGACCCAGGAAGAGATGTCTTCACCTCCCCAGGCGACCCTGCCTTCTACCTCCACCACTCCATGATTGACCGAGTGTGGTGGATGTGGCAGATGCTGTCTCCTCAAGAGCGTCAGTATGGCGACATCTCCTTGAGCGGCACCAACACCTTCCTGGACCAACCTCCCAGTGCCAACACCACTATGGACGACCTCTTGGAGTATGGGTGGGTTGGTGGTGAGCCGCTGAAGATCAGAGATGCCATGAGCACTGTTGCCGGGTCTTTCTGCTATGTCTACTTGTGAGGCGGTGGGTTCAGGGTCAAACTCCACGATGATGAGAGCTTCCAAGATCCTAATTATATCGAGCGCTGCTTAGAACAAATGTCATAATAGTAATGTTTGTTCCTCTGAAATTTCAGGAGTATCTGCGCGGAGTTGCTGCGATTATCGAATCTTCTGTCCACATGCAGTACAGTTGTCAGGTTGATGTGGCTTTTGGAAAAGACCATTTTGAGAGGTCAATAAATCCTTCGCGGTCTCGGGGCCCACGTGCAATGAATTCTTTTATGTACCCAACACAATTTGTGCTTACAACTGGATGCAGTCGGAGAATTAGCATCACCCAAAACGGCAAACTGCGCCTGTTGGCTGGCCTTTGAGAAATGATCATTCGACAAGGGATATGACGTGACCGCTGGTCGGGTAGATATCGGGAAAAACCACCCATGCCACTGCACCAGTTCCTCGGCGCTTTTCTTCGTTTGTTTCCACTCTATTGCCTGTAGACCGTCGCATCGTAAAGTAGATGGAGAATTCGCTGGCTGGTCTAGATCGAGTTGACGGGTGGCATCCACTTGGTGCAGTGATACCATCGAGTCCTGCCATAGCGCAATGCCGTTATCGCGCCGTGGCGGCTCGCTTGAGATATGCTCAGGTTTGTTCGAATTTTCGATAAAATGCCCAAGCTTTCTCCGTTTAATGATCTTGAAAGGTCGTTTCTTTTCTAAGATCAAGACGAACCACCATGGCGCAAATCACTGCCGAGTCTCCAACGCTATGGAGCAAGACCCACGACGTCTACCGCGGGACGATCTTCCAAGCCGTGCTCCTGGGTCTCATCAGCTTCACGCAACCTGGAATATGGGCAGCCATGAACAGTACGTTAGGAATTCATTTTCATATAGTCTTCAAATGCTAAGACATTATTCAGATCTCGGTGCTGGCGGACAAGCTGAGCCTTACGTCGTCAATGCTGTCAACGTCATTACGTTTGTGTAAGGCTTTACGACAATCAAACTCCGAGACTAAGATCGTGCTAATGACGTCGCAGCATCATGGTCTTCTTTTCTCCTTTGGCGAGCATTGTCGGCAACCTGATCGGTCTGAAGTGGATTGTCGTCTTCGGAACCCTGGGCTATGTGCCTTACTCTGCTGCGCTGTATTGCAACTCTCTTTGGGGTACCCAATGGTTCCTTATATTTGGCGCTGTCACATGCGGCTTCTCGGTTCGCTCATCCATACCTATCAATATCCAGAAAAGCCTTTCTGACTTTAGTACAGGCAGCTGCTCTGTGGCCCGGCGAGGCAGCGATTGCGGTTGGCTATCCTGAAGTTGCTCGGAGAGGCACCTGCAGTACGTCTTCAATGAAACTTAGTGACCTGTCATACAAGATATCTGACGTCAGCGTCTAATCTAGTTAGTATCTGGATGGCCCTAGGCAAACTCGGCTCCATCATTGCGACCGCAATTCAACTCGCTATAAACAAGGACGGCGACACAACCGGTGCCATTGCCCCCTCGACATATCTCGTCCTTGTTGCCATACAGTGCCTGGGTCTCCCACTCTCTCTTTTGATCGCCCCTCCAAACAAGCTCATTCGGAAGGATGGAAGAAAGCCTATCTTTGCCAACTCTCAGCGCTCTTTCGTGGTGCAACTCAAAGCCTTTCTCGCTCAATTCAAGCGCAAAGAAGTTCTGCTCTTGATCCCGGCCTTCATCACCGCGCAATGGGGCGTCACATATCAGGGCAACTACATGGCGGCCTACTTCACTGTACGCGCTCGTACGCTCTCTGGTTTCTTGATTGCAATTGTCGGCGCCATCTCCAACCTCCTCGCCGGCTGGTGGCTGGACACGAAGCACCTGCGTCGTACGACTCAAGCACGCTGGAGTTGGTACTTCTTGCTCGCTCTCTTCACACTTGTCTGGATCTGGAACATTGTTGTTCAAGAGCGTTGGCAGCGTGAGAGCCCCGGCGAGATCGACTGGAGCAGCCCCAGGTTCGGGGAAGGAGTTGCCATCTTCATCCTCTACCGGTAAGCCGACATCCTAAACACCCCTGTGAACTCTTCATTCTGATATATTCCATTAGTATTGCGTACGAGACTGTCGGTGTATGGCTTTACTGGGTTCTCGGCACTTTCGACGTCGAAGCGGATACCATTGCGTTGTCTATGGGTGTCCTTCGGTCGGGAGAGTCGGTTGGCTCGGCGCTGTCGTACGCAGTTGGCTCAGTGCGTAGTGCGTCTTTGATGACCAACCTGATTGTCTCTGTGGTTGTTTTCTATGTTGCTGTTCCTGCCACCACTTGGGCTTCTTTGCTCGTCAAGGATAGACTTCCCGGGGAGCTGCATGGCTCTGACAGCGACGGTGAGGGGTTCGGCCAGGCTGACCGCCCTCAATCTGACGCGGAGCAAGTCGAGGTGAACCACAATGCCAAGGTTTAAGGAGAACTTATGTGTCGAGATACTGCTGGCCTGGATAGCGATACAGTGGGCCATTCCATCAGGGCGGTGCAGCCGATCATGCGGCCCCACAATCGGAGGCAGTACTCGGAGAAGAAGGATCGCCGGAGCACTCCCGCGAGCGAAATGATCGACAATATCACTCTGGGGCAGTGCATCACTCAAGAACACATGCCAGTAGCTGTGGTAAATACGTCTCAACCATGTTTCGCACCATTCTTGGTTCTGCTCATCCCGGCCACGAGGCCCGATCATAGGGTGGAAAAAACAGCAGACCTTGGGACGAGCGCCGACTCTTCGGATGGTTCTGAAACCGGGTTGGTCTGGCGTCCAAAACGCTCGCATGGCTACATAAAACAGCGCGCACGCTTAGGTTCATGTCGTGCATAGCAGTAAAGGCAGGAGGCGAAGTCCTAAAAATTGCCAGCGAAAACATTGGGCTTGTCTAGTTGTTTCTTCAGCGGCGAAATTTAAAGTATTGTTTCCCTACTCCAGATCAAACACGATCGACGCGCATCATTTTTTCTGCTTCGACATTCCCCACAGAACACGATGAAGCCCGAAACAGACAACGAAGACCACCAGCCCTTTCTGGGGTTTCGCGATGACCCGAATAAGAGGCATTCGGCGGATGACGAAGAAGAGCAGGGCGTCGCGGGCGGCCATGCGTTGCTACACCAACAGCATGCGCTGAAGACGTCGAGGACGAGGAGGTGGCTGAGAGACTTCCTCGTGTTTTTGGCAACTTCTCTGGTCTGGGTGCTGGCGTTTTCGTTCATAACCGGGCCTCAACAGCAGGCACCGTCGACACCGTCACCGGGCACAGCAGCGATGATGCCGACGCCGCCATCGATGTCGGGGTTGCCGCTGCCGCTGCCGCAAGTTGGACAGGATGGCAAAGCGGGGACGATTCCGGACCCAAAGTACCTCGCGGCAACGCACAACATGACATCCGAGGCGAAGTTGGTGTTGTGCGGGAACTCGACGGCGGAGGCGAAGAAAGCGGGGTGCAAATACGACACGTTGCTGAACCACTGGGTACCAGAGCAGTGTTACGACAAGGAGTTTGAGACGGAGTACATGGACGACGACACCTGGCACGCGTATTCGGAGTAAGTTTACCTTTCTGGCCTGATGCTTTTGTCTCTGGTAGTGAGCGGATTGCTGATTTTGCGACACTTGCATAGCGTCAACTTGACGAAGCGCCTGACGAGAGAGGAAATGGGAGATCAGGAGTCGTACTACACGTCCATCGCGGATCACGTCAACCATTGCTCGATGCTTTGGAAGAAGCAATTCTGGACCATGTTCGAAGAGCGGAGGGTCTTTGACGGTGTTATCGTCAACTCGTACCACACGGAGCATTGCGCCGACTTCTTGAAGGATATTTGGGGGTCGAACCGAACAGAGCCTACGTTTGTCAGGGTTGCGTTTTCGGGATGCTGGGTCAGAAAGTGAGGACTTCTGGGCGGCTTTGTTGTGATATTGTCAGTTTGGGACGTGGAGTTGGAGGTGACGGCACATTGGTTCACGCCCTCAACTATCACATAAGCCCTTGATGTGTCCAAGACGAGGGAAGTATGGCGCAGGTTCAGCACAGCGTTGGAGTTAATTCTTTACTTAATAAAATACTAAGCGGTCAAGTCTAAACAGACTCAAGCGACGTTGATGTTCATCTGTTGAAGCATTCGGGACTAGAGTGAGACTTTGGTGAGCCCCTGAAAGCCTGACAGGTCTAGGCATGAATGTCACTTCAAGTTAAGAACTTCTATTTTCCTTATGTGAAGAGGGAGGCTCAAGGTCTACAGGCTGGCCTTTGCTTAAGAATCAACCACACGCGACGACTAGCTACATCAGCAAATTGCCTCTGACTGAAGGCAGTGATCAAAGATCTCTCACCGACTTATACGTGATAGGTTTTCATCTATAATTTCGCCGCTGGCGAAGAACATGCTACGCCGCCAGAAGGCGGGCAATACACTGATCATGGCTGACTTTGAAGGCTTCATGGAGGTTTACACCTTTATTCAAAGACGACGTTCAAGCTCAATCGTAAGTACACATAGCCGATGACAAAACAGCTCTGCATAGTGTTGCCATTGTGGGAGCTAAGCGACCGAGCTGCTTGAAGAATCTTGGCAACATTCGCAAGCAAGTATCTATCTCGACGACCACGTGAGCATGAGAACACACCTCAAACTACTTTTGCTTGCGATTGGGGGATGATAGGTCTTTGATATCCTATGTCTGCCTATTTCCTAGTTGTAGAAGACATTTCGGCATTGTTTGGTTTCGAATCCTCAAGCTTTCAATAGGACTTTCTCCTCGACGTATGGTAATCTCGATCTTGGGCCCTTCGTCATGGCTAGAAATGGTTTATCTTTCTTCTATCTGCACACTTCATATCAACTACGTCAACGACCTCCACAGTCCCATACCAGCGGCGCGCTAGTAGATAATCTAGTGTCAGCACACGTTGCCGGTTAGCCGATCCACGCGTAGGGCTGCACAGCAGAAGCTCCCCCTGGCGTCCGGCTTGGCACTTGGGGAAGACGTATCCATCTCTCGGTCCCGAGTAATCTATCGGTGCAACGTCGGCTCGAAAATCCGGGATCACCCCAGAGCAGGGGGGTCGGTCGGACTACGGACCTCGGATGGATGGGCTGACGCCGCACCGGGACTAGCCGCTGCAGCGCTGACTCCGACCCCTGGATCTCATCGTGATTTAAGACAGACTTCAACGTCTCACTCGCACAATATTGATGTATCAAATGAGATAGTGACATCTTGACACTGCATGAGTGACGTTGACGAGAGCTTCTGCTTTTGAGAAACAATCACCGTACTCATGAATCCATTTTGAGAAGATGGACGATACATCATGAGCGAAGCCTAGGAAGACGGGGACACTGATGTTGACTGAGACAGCGGGCGCAGCATCAGCCACAGCATGAGAATCGTGCACAAAGGATCAGATTGATACCAAAATCTCCTAGATTCTCAGCGATCATTGGTGCGCCACGGAATGCGCTTCGGCGCGCTAGAAACGATACATGTTAGTACCAAAGCGGAACGAGAAATCCGACAACTATTAATACGTTATGTTGCCCGCCAAGATCTTCAAAATTTCCCATTCAAAACCCTCGAAACATAATTCTCACATGGACAATCTCCCACCTACACAAACAACCATGCGCGTCCTCATCAGCGGCGCGGGCATCGCCGGCCCAACACTGGCCTGGTTCCTCGCCCGCACCGGCGCGCGCGTCACCGTCCTCGAAAAGAGCGCCGCCCTCCTCCGCCAGGGCCACAACGTCGACGTCAACTACGGCGCCATCAAGGTCATCCGCAAGATGGGCCTCATCGGCGAGCTCAAGCGCTGGAACACGACGGAGAAGGGCACCAAGCTGATCGACCCGCGCGGCCGCCCCTTCGCGCCCTTCCCGGTCCACCCCGGCGACGGGTTCAACCCGACATCCGAGTTTGAGGTCCTGCGCGGCGACCTCTCGTGGTTCCTGTACGAGGCGACCAAGGCGCACCCGAACGTGGAGTACCGCTTCGGGGTGACTTCCAAGCGGGTTGTTGAGAACGGCGACGACTGCGTGCGGGTGGAGCTGAGCGGCGGCGAGGTGGAGGAGTATGATCTGCTGGTCGCGGCGGACGGGCAGTGGTCCAAGGTGCGGCGGCAGTGCTTCCCGGAGGAGGAGGTGGCTGTGGTTGACAAGGACATGTACGTGGTGTACTCGACGATCCCGCGCGTGGCCAGCGACGATGACTGGTGGAACGTGTTCGTCGGCCTCGGGTCGCGGTGTATCTCGCTGCGTCCCGATCCGCACGGCACCATCCGGGCCATGTTCACGCGGATGCCTCTTTACGACGCGCAGAGGCGGCTGTGGCAGGAGGCAGCGCGGAGCGACAGGAAGACGCAGCAGGAACTCGTCAGGAGGGAATTTGCGGACGCGGGGTGGCAAGCGCCGCGGATCTTGGAGGCGATGGAGGACTCGGAGGACTACTACTTCCAGGCGCTTCAGCAGATCAAGATGAAGAGGTGGTCGACGGGCAGGGTCGTCTGTCTTGGTGATGCGGCGTGGGCGCCGACGCCTCTGACGGGGATGGGCACGTCGTTGGCGATCCAGGGGGCGTATGTGCTCTCGGGCGAGCTGAGCAAGCTTGGAGAGGGGGAGCATCCCAGGAAGGCTCTGGAGGAGTTTGAAGGGAAGTTTAGGAGTTATGTTGATGAGACGCAGCATATCCCGTTCTTCTTCCCTGCTGTTGTGCATCCTGATGTGGCGTGGAAGAGATGGCTGTTCCAGACGTGCGTGGCGGGTGTAGCGAGGGTTGTGGCGAATCCGTGGGTTCAGAAGAAGTTTATACAGGGTACTAATGTCGAGGATACGGATGGGTTCACGTTACCGGAATATGAGAGGTTTGAAGTCGATGGGTTTGCGGGATAACTCGGTCTTGGGAGCCTCAGCGGTTGATAGATTTCTAACAGGGGGTTCTTTCTGAATGCAATGATCTCATCTCATTTAGTAATTCAGTCTCAATGTCATCCTGAACATGTCTGCACTATCTTGTCTTCTCTGGTCTTAGAGCAACTCTTATCAATGTTCACAACGGCCACTTCCCCCTTTTCTTCAAATCCTCTCTTACAGCTCTCCACTGTTGAGCATCAATCCTGTAAACCCACCCAATCACATTCTCGTCATAACTCACAGGGCCCTTGGTCTCAATCTCAGCCAAACCCAACGACGCCATCAGCGCCCTCCACGGCTTATTGTCATCAGCCGTCTCAACGCGAACAACTCTACACCCGAGCTCCTCGACCGCGTACTCGACCTTGGCACACAACGTCTCCCGCCCATACCCCTTCCCCCAGTGCCGATGATCGAGCACCACGCCCGTATCAGTAAGATACGGGCGCCCCTGGACACCATCCTCCCCGTCCTCCTGCGCGACGGAGGTGCCGCTGTCGTCTTCGAAGCAGTTGTACCCGCCATTGCCAATGACCTCGCCCGTCTCGCGGAGGACGACTACCATGAAGGCATTCTTGCCCGCGGCGGTCATGGGCTTCCAGCGGTTGATGCGGGCGCGCATGACCTCGGGTGAGAGGCCGGGCTGGACGGCATCAAAGGGCTGATTTTCCGGGGTCGAAAGCAATTTGTAGAGGGCGTCGTCATCTTCGGGGACGGCGCTGCGGATGATGAGGCGCGGTGTGGTGATGGTGTAGGCTTCTTGTGGGAATGGGGCTGCCATGTTGGTGGTTCACGAGGAGGATAGATGGAGTACCAAGTGAGTTGGCTTGAAGTCATGTGGTGGTTTCCTGGTTGATTAAAGATGGTTCTCAAGCACTACTTAAAAGCCGCCCAACGAGAGTATTCATCAACTTGCAGCACCCTTCAAAACACGCTATGCTCGTTGTACTTGGGGAACAGTGACTCATTTTCGAGAGCGTTTGCGACTTGAATTGAGTTTACAGCTGCGGGCACTGGGTTGACATTTTGTCACCTTCCCGATTTGCTGAAGGATCAGTTCCTACATGCGCTAAACTGGCCAGTTGTATGACTCTTCAGCAGTCATCAACACCAACGCACCAACGATAATGCATGCAACTTGCATGTCTGACCACTCAGGAGCGACGATTGGCTGCATGTAGAATTTGGCCTCAATTTCTTTGTTTAGTGGGTCTTGTTGGTTCTCTAAAGCCCAGAATGACTTGCATTTGCGAGTTGGAGTCGACGCCGACATCGTGAGCTCCAAAACATGCTCTTAAATCATAAGATACAATTGTCTAGTTGCTCATCAAATTTATTGAATCGTCACCGGATTCAGTCTAATAACCCGATCTAAATCAACGTTCAGGGGTTGACAGCTACCTGCGTTGATGATAGGACAGCTGCCAGGGATAAACAAGCTTTTGTCGAACAGAATCCGTGGTGATTTTCACCGTCGACAATACACCGAAGAACATTTCATGCCGTCGAAACCTGAAGGCGGCGGCCAACTGTTTGTGACCACCTGGAAGATTCGCAATCTCCGAACGCTAATCAAACGTCTTTCCCCGAGGGTCAGTCACGGGGAGAGCCAAAGTATGTATACCTTACTGACCGACCTGGCCCCATAACATTAGAGTTCGTCCTGTCAACTCTTAGTCACCTGCTGAATCGTGATCGTGGGCGACTGATTGTTTCTGGTCCGTGTGAGATGGCCACGACGACCCCACTCAGGCGCATTGAATCTGTCCAGCGATAACCCGGCTCGACGAGGGCGGCAGCGTGAGCAGAGAATAGCAACGCAGGAAGTGCCGCGCATCATCACCAGCCTCAGTCTCGGAGCGTCTTCTTTTCCAGTTACACCAGTGTGACAACTCATTTATCTGCGGTTGAGGCAGACTTGGAGCACAGCAGTAAGAAGGCCCAAGACTCTTCCGCTGACACCGGAAGGCATCTTCATTTGACCAACGACATAGTCTGAGAGTCGCAACAACATCACAATTACTAGGTGAGCTAGAGAGATCCAACAGATGCCAACAGTATTCATGGTCAACATTGTTGGTGAAAGCACTGGGCATGCTATCCACGTGTAATCAATCTCACAAGCAGAGCCGAGATGCAGGAACGACAGCTAATATGGGGCGGCATGTGTCTACCAAGGGACGCTCCGAAGCCCGCGCAGTGTAGGGCTACTTTAGGAAAGGAGGGAGAAGAAGGGAACAGACTTTCTTCGCCAGGCACACGAAGTGCTTCTCCGTCACCCTCTCTCTCCCGCACTCTCGCCTCCAGGGCACCAAGGGCGCCGGCCCGTGGTATTTAAGCGTGCACTCAAAAGCCAAGAGAGTTGACTAACAGATACAACCAGCATCTTTGATGGGTCAAACGCTGGCCAGATGGTTGTTTCAGCGTCATGCGATGACGCCGTTGTGCCGCAGTCAGCAGGCTTGGTGGTGCTGGACCCTGCGTTTCCATTTGCCCGGGCAACCCTGAAGCGTCCACAAATGCGAGGGAGGGGGGCCTGTACTGCGCTGTCCCGCCTGAATTTTCCCTTCTCGTCCAGCGCAGCGGCGGCGCCCACATCAGCCCAACTCATTCATGTTAACTCCCCACAGCAGCCAATATGGCTGCTCCCGCCCTCAATCTATTAATTCCCCCTAGTGTCGACCTTATCCACGAAGCTTGTCTCAAAGACGACTTAACCGAGTGAATGAAGGGGGCTCTTCCGAGCAATAGCCTTCCCCGATCCACTGTGCTGTGCAGGGCAGCGAAGCTTGTGTTGGGACTGGAGCACTGTGGGAACAGGACGGGAACAACATGGTCGACATCACCAGGTCTCGACCAACTTTTTTCCAGCGAGATCCATCGTATCCAGCCTCAATCATGGGGCAGTGGTCTGGAACGAACGTGTTCCGACATCAGGGAGGCTCCGCTGGTCTAAATACGCGAAGAGGGCGAAGCTGCAAGCGAAGAGAACGACGCCGCCTGCCAGGCGTGCCCGTTGGACTCCTGAGCGTTACGCATCCGTCTCAGACCCGCTGGGAGGCCCGTCTGAACTTTTTTGGCAGGCCGTACGGGAAAAGCTGCCATCGGAGGTTCGCCGCCGCCCGCCCCCTCACGCTCAGCAAGTGTGGTGGTGTAGGTGCCATTGGGGAGACATTGCGACTGGGCGGCGCTCTTCAGCGAAGTCGCAGTCCTTTGCCTGGAAATAAGGCCCAGTCGAGTCCGTTATGGTCCATCTCAAAAGGGGCCTGAAACGCGGGTGCAGCCCCGTTTTCGTCTGGACTCCCAGCGACATCTGCCCATTTCCCTACTGCGGTATGGGAATTGGCCCTCCTCCCCCCGGCTGCGAGGCCACAGCCAACGCAACCTTGCGGCGGGAACGGGAAAGCCCTGTCCGCCCTGTCGCCTCGAGCCTAAACATCCCCTGCTTTTGCCTGTCTTCAGCCACTGGCACGAAGAGCAAGGTTGGAAGTGTGTGTGTGTGTGTGAGTGGTGGTCGCGTAGATGGCCCCCCCACGGAGAAGACTCGGTCTTGGACACCACCACCAAACCACCACTGAAGAGGGGGCACGCCTCCGTATCCACCGCCGTCTCCACCCACGCGACGGCATCCGTTCCAGAAGATCGTCGGAGCTGCGGAGAGGATCTGTGCTTGGGGTTGCTTTTTGATGTCCTTTTGGCGCATCTTGGCTGGAAATACTTGCAGGTGAGAAACAGTATGAGGCTGGCAATGCTGGCTCGAATCCACTCCCGCAGCACACCCCAACATCGTCATCCATGGTACGAAATTCGACCGGACGAGAGCGCTGTGGAGAGCGGTTCCTGACGGCGCTGCATCGTCCACCTGGTCCTTCGCGAAAGCAGACAGGGACTGGCCGAAGCTTTGCCCATCACCAAAGCGCTTACACATTTCTCTCCTTCAGGCTTCACTTGCAAAACCATGCTCACCACCACCACCCCCCCTTCCCCCCTGTCGAAACAAGCTCTACCCTTGAAGCACCTCCTCTTGTCATCGCCAAAAAGGGGAGGGTCAGAGAGGGAAATCAACGGGCAACCATGTCGACCGCCGTTATAAAACTTTATAGGCCTCGCTCTTCGGGCAAAACGCAGGCCTCCCTGTGCTCTTCCCGTTTGGATCGCTCGCTCACACTTTCCTTTCGTCGAATTATTCCCAGCCGGTCTGTTTACACTTCTCTTCGGCCCAATACCTCTTTCGTTCTCTTCAACGGTGCTGGACACAATTGTCTTGTAATTCAACTTTTTTGATTTTTATATTCTTTTTCGATTCTTTTTTCGTAAAGCAAATTCAACCATGTCTACCTCTATGAAGGCGTTGGTCACCTCCGCCTTGTTGGCGGTGGCTTCGGCTCAGGGTGTTATCCTCAAAGCCCAGGGCAAGGGCGCCGCCAGTCTGCCTCTTCAAGGTAAGTCGTGATGGAAGAAAGAAAAAGATGGGAAACGGGGGTAAAGAGGAACGGGGAACAGTGGGCTAACACAGCCCCCGACAGTCGACACGAAGAAGGCCGATGCGAACATCATCAACACCAAGGAGATCACCGACAACGCTGTCAACGAGTGCGGTCGTACCATCCTCGCCGGCAACATCGACATCGGCGAGAACACCGAGAACCAGCTGATCGCAAAGACCGTCACGCAGGTCACCAAGGGCAGCACCGTCGATGTCCAGATCGCCCAGGTCAACCAGGACGGCTCGGGACCGTACACCTGCGACATGGACCTGACCAGCAACGCCAACGGTGCCACCGGCCAGACGAAGCTCCAGGTCCAGGAGGGCCAGCCGCAGAACGGCATCATCAACCTCAAGGTCACCATGCCCCAGGACATGGCCTGTGTAGGAGGTACGTCGTCACTCAACCTCACATCTTGACACCGGAAATGAGTACTAACACGCACCAGCCTCCACCGGAGACGTCTGCACTGTCCGCTGCTTCAACGCCGCCGCCGCCGGCCCCTTCGGCGGCTGCTTCGCCGTCCAGCAGACCGACACCACCCCCAAGCAGAACACCCCCCAGAACATCCCCACCGCGCAGACGCTCGAGAACGTCCTCACCCAGGTCCAGCAGAACGCCAAGGACCTCCCCGCCGCCGTCAAGTCGAACCAGGAGGCCAAGACCCAGGACGAGCAGGGCGTCACGGCCATCAAGGAGATTCTCGGCAACAACGCCACCCAGGAGGCTGCTGGTCCCGCCGGAAACGCCGCCGGGGGCAACACCGGCAACACCGGTAACAACAACAACAACGGCGGCGGCAACAGGAAGAACAACGGCAACAACGCTAACAACGGCGGCGCCACCCGCGGCGGCGGCGCTGCCAAGGCCGGCAAGAACAACGGAGCCAACGCCAACAACGGCGGCGGCAACGCGAACAACAACGCCGCGACGGGAGGCAACAACAACAACAACAACAACAACGGAGCCGCGACCCAGGGAGGCGGTGCCGCCAAGGCCGGTAACAACGCCGGTGCCAACGCCAACAACGGCGGCGGTGCCACGAACAACGCCGCGACGGGCGGCAACGGCGGAGGCAACGGGGGCAACCGCGGCGGCCGCCAGAACAACAACAACAACGCCAACAACAAGCGCGATGAGTTCCGTGCGCGCGTTGCCAGGAGGCACCTCGCTCCCCAGAACTAAGGGGTAAAAGAGAATGAAGAGGGGGAGCTGGGTCGTCTGCGACCCGGTTCTGTTGTTAATGGGCTCTTATATCCACGAAGGCCCAACGTTGTTGAAGATGAAGACTTAGCTGTTGTTACACCATATCCCATATTACCTTTTGGTTGATTAGTTTAGCGAAATAAATCTTGAGAGAGAGCTTTTGAAAGCGTATGTGCTGAGTTTTCAAGTGGAGGAGGTGTTCTAAACGTTTTCCGCCCTGTACTTGAGTTTGAAGATGTAAGATATTCCTAGAAAACATCACAGAAAAAGGAACTAAACTTATGAACCATTAGTTGATATGGGCACTGTTCACAGAGTGCTGATGTAGTGAGACTCTTCTTGGGATGAGATTAGAACGTGGGGTGTATCGTCGGACAAAATGGGATACCGGGGTAAGGGGGCTCGGGTGCCGAGACGCCACCCGAGGTTGCTCGGGTGCTGAGAACAGGTGCTTACACATAGATGTATCATGTCACTTGGGCTAATATGTACTTAGAGATCGTTATATGTCCTTAGCCCTTGGCAGGATGTCGTTTGTTAGCGGAAATGCTTCCTCGAGATGTACATTTGTAGATGAAGAACAATCCGCCGATGGATCGCATTCTACCACGTGTGGCTTTGAATTTTTTATTCCAAGTAAAATCCAGAATGTATAAGAGCTCATTTAGGAGGTTAATCAAGTGGAGCTTCCCAAGCCATAGAAAGGGTGAAAGGCCTTCGTCGTCGGTCACAGCATACAGATGGCGTTCTGCGTTTTGCTCTATATCGGTTGTTGGCAAATACAACCAGTGCCAGCGTATAGAGGCAATCGCATGATAACTACATAGAAAGCTTGCAGGCTACGAATGGCGAGTCGGTATCTCTCAAAAGCGCTGAAATCGAGTCTGAATTTCACATTGTCCATCACATGTTAGGCGATGATGTTGCGCGGTTGAGTTGCTTCAGGTCGCGTTCACAGCAAGCGTAACCCCACGAAACGTTGATTTTCGCTGCCCTTTGTCCCGGTTCTCTTCGATCGTGGTTCCGTCAAGAAAGCCTTTTTCCGATACGTCCTTGTCCCGAAGATCACATCAACATCTCCAGGCGGCGGGGATTCAAAAGAAAATGAAATCGAGTCTGATTAAGAAACATACCTAACATATCTACGAAACGGTAAGACAAACTCTGCTCTTCGCTGTCCTATTCGACCTTATAGTCCTGTCGTCCGCGACAAAGAACAACTTATTCACTGCTGCTGTCGTAGTATCCCGGCTCTGAATTGATATCATCCTCTTCAACAGTCCTTTCTCTGTTACCTTGGCTGCCGGAGTCGGCGTATGTTTCGCTCCCTTCATCACCATTATCCGAGTCATCGCTTGTAGAGCTGACGGAAGGAACAGAAGAGTTTTGCTCTGAATATTCCTCTTCATGGTACTCCTCCCACCTGTGACTGCGATCGTGCATTTCATCTCGATTTGCAAAGCATTTGAAGCACAGGCTGTAATTACCGCAAACCGTACACGTGTAGCGCAGTCCTGCCCATGCCTAAGGGTATTATCAGCAGCCAGACTAAATGTGTTACTGTCAGAGGAATAAATAGCCACTAACCATGAAGCAACCATCACAAGAATAGTCATTGCGGTTTCCGCGCGGTAGATTGTGGAAGTCATCGTCCCACACTTCTGTTGAGCCATCTTGGGCAACACGCTCCCTCTCACCTTCCGGTGGTTGTAGCCAGACTTTCGCATTTTCTAGCTGGCCGTTAAGGCATGCAAGCTTCATTGCTGACCATTCGCGGTCTTCGCTGCGGGCCCAGATATCTGCTTTATACGTCTCGACAAGCCTCTCAATTATTGTAGTCTCTGTTGACGATCTGCACGCCCACATGAGCGGTGTCCACCCGTCACTATCCCTCACGTTGATGTCGTAATTGGGGAGGTTTTTCAAGACTAACTCAAAGACTTCTATGTCATCAGTGCCGGCTGCCATATGAAGGGCTGTTCGCTTGAATCGGTCCTCAGTCCCAATGTCAACGCCGGCCTTGGCAAGTATTCGAATGGGCCGAGCGTTGAAAATATAACGTGCCCTTCCAGCAAGGTAATGAATTGTGTGGCGGCCTAGTGCATCGGCTGCGTTCAGCTCAGCGCCGTGGCGGACGAGGTATTCGAAGATGTCATTATTGCCAGAGTTGACAGCAGCAAGTACTGGGAATGAGTGTGTTGCATCATGTGCGTTGGCCGTAACCATCCCATTGCCGATGAGATACTGGACAATTTTCTCCTGTACATGGTAATGAATAGATGAACAGAGAACGGCATGTAGTAGGGGTTCGCAGACCGGATCCGGCCCGGGGCTAGTGGGGTCCGCCCCAGCGTCGATGAGCAGCTTCAATAGCTTGAGGCAATCCCAATCAAAGGAGTATTGGGATCGGCAAGCCAGATGCAATAAACTCCCAACGTCAGGGACGAAGATGTCCGCACGAGCTCCTTCAGAGATAAGGTACGCCGCGGCGGCGACGTTAGCCTTCGTTACGGCAGCTCCCAGAGGCGTGAGCCCGTTCTCGTCGACAGAATTGATTTGAGCACCCATATCAACCAGCACCTGCAATGATTGCACTGCCGTCGTAGAGCCAATATATTGCAGTACGGTGCTGCCAAGTATGGTCCCCCGGTTCAAGAAACTTCGCAGCATTTTACGAGTTTCTTCAGAAGGTTTGATGAGGGGCGAATTCAGAATGAACGTTGCGTCCTTCAGAGTATCGTCGATTTCAGCACCAGCCTTGAGCAGAAGGCTGGCGCACTCAACATTGCCGCGATCAACTGCTATCATCAATGCTGTACGCCCGTAGTCCAAGTCATCTGGGCTGTAGTCGAGTTTCGCGTCCAGATCTGGCAGGGGACGATGTTCTAGTAGAACCTTCAGAGTATCCTGATAGTTCCATCTTGCGACCATCATCAACAAGGTCCCGTAATTTGTCATCTTGTTGATAATGTTGTTGACCCCTACAGCATGTTTGAGTAAGTACGACATTATCGTATGCATGTCGTACGCCGCATGGAGGGCAGTCCATCTATCAGATTTTCTTTCCCATGTGATGTCTGCCTTGTATTTCAAGAGGATTTCGGCTTCTTCGGCATCAGGACAGCTAAATGCCGCGACGAATAAGGGTGACTCGGCGTCTTCTGGAACGTCGGTGGTTGAAGCTCCTTTTTCGAGGAGAAATTGAATCGTTTCGAGTGAACATTCGGAAACAGCAAATGTCAAGGGCGTTTTCAAGTATGTTCCTTCGAACGTGTCGTATGCGTTTAACTCCACACCGTGGTCCAGAAGAAGAGTAATAAGATCCTTGTCTTCCGTTCTCAAGGCTCGATTAAGAATTGCTTCTTTATCCGGGTAGGTCTTGCAGGGTCTCGCGCCCTTCTCGATGAGATGACGGCAGAACTCAGTCGTACGAGGGAAGCCGCAAAGAAGATAAAGAGGGCTTCCTTGCGAGGATTCAAAACAGGGATCTGCCCCCTTGTCGAGAAGTAAACGGCAGCACTTAAGCCTCCCGTATTCTGCAGCGTACGGCAAAATTGACGAGACTGAATCGTTCTTTTCATTACCGTGCTCTGTGTTTGCTGTCAAAAGATGGTCGAGAACTTCGAAGTCACCAGCGCAGGCGACCGCTTCAACAACCGATCTATCGGCCTGAAAGTTGTCGTGAACACTATCTCTAGCGTGGAGAAGCATCCGAAGTATGTCCGCGTGGCCCAGCTCTGCGGACAAGACCAATGGAGTTCTTCCGAAGGCATCTTCAACCAGCAAATCAACTCCATTATCCAGCAAAAGTTTTATCACATTTTGCTGTCCCCAGGTGATGGCCGTGTGAATAGCCGCCTCTCCCAAATCATCGTTGATCTCATTGAGATTCTTCCCTTGCTTGATCATCAAGGAGATCATTGAATCGAGACCAAAGGCAGCGGCGCGGGTAAGGAGGCATCTGGGCCAGGAGAAATCGTTCACCAAGGCAATGCTCTCTAGCAGTGGCTTTGCTGAACCGCTGCCGCCAGATGATGCTGCCCAGATAAGAGCATCCTGTAAACCTAACTCGTAAAGTGGTACCGCCTTCATCAGTTGACAAACCACTTGAGTATGTCCATTCCGCACAGCTTCTGTGATGGCGAGCCAAACATCTTGTTGGAACCATCTGGAACTTTTTTCCTCTGCAATTTGTCTGAAGAGGACGTCTTCTAGCCCTAGGCCGGCCATCAAGGGCAGTGAAGATAGGTATGCTCTGTGAATTCGTGTGAAGGGATTTGAAAGAACATAATGCGCTTCTGCCCATCTGTTTCTTATGTCCCTGTGGCGGAAGAAGTCGATGGCTAGGTCTAGAGGTTGGTCTGACTCACACAGCCGATAATGCTCTGCCCAAAATCGAATTGCATATTCTAGAAGGTCGTCTCCAGATGATGCGAGAGGTTTTCTGAGCATGTCTCCACTCTGCCTGTCAACCGGGAACTTGCCATACAAGTTTTGCACTTCCGTATGCATCAAATACCGTAGGCAAGCCTGGGCGAGAGACCCATGAATTGAGGAACCACTATGATTCAGCTTGCCGTCTTCGTCAGGCAAGATAGTGCCGTAAAAGTCGTCATGCGAAAACTTGAGAAAACGATCGCATACGACGACGATACCAGAAAACATCATCCTCAGGTCCTCAAGTAGTTGGTTATGGTCAAAATCCAAGAATGAATAAGCTGGGTCTGTTGACACAACAAGTGCATGCCCTAGTGCTTCAACCGTCAGTGGCTCCAAGGCGTACTTTAGCCACTGATGGATAGTGAAAGCCAATTTCCGCTTATCTGCAGGTAAGTCGTTTAGGATGACTGAGATTATGTCTTGTGGTGTTGGAGAAGTAAGCTTTTCGATGATTGAAATCCTCTCAGTAACAGGAGATCCTTGGCCGAGGTAGCTAATCCAGTTGAAGATGATATGACCAAGGTAAGGGGTTTTTTGGAATTTTTCCACCAGTGATTCTAGGCTCTTTCTCAGTCGACTCAGTATCGGACGCTTTTGGAAGGCCTTTTCGATGCGTTGCCTCAGTCTTTGAATACTGAGTCCTTCGTCGACAGCGTACCCGACGAGGGGTGCTTGACAGTCACTCAAGCGGATGACCCTCATGTCAGATGCAGACTCAGACATGACTTGATCCAATCCACAAGTGAAGATAACCAACTTATGACGCATGTCAGTACGCTTCTGCTGCTCCAATACTGCTTTCAAAAACCAGGTCCGTTCTTCTTCAACGCAGTGATCGAAACAGCTTAGAATGATCATGGAGTCCTCGACATCCTTGCAGCGCCTCATTTCTGTGAAAAATTTGAAAAGATCAGAAAGAGACCAGTTGTGGTAGTACTCTAGGCTTCTGAACATTCGCTGAGATACCGCACCCTCCTCTACCCTCGACCACATACGCCAGGTTATCTCCGAGAGGAAAGCTGCAAGCATGTGCTTTATCCCGCTATATCTGCTATCGAACTTTTGGAACTGGAAGTGGAAAGCACTTTTCACATCCCATCTGTCCGTGTCTTGTTCAAAACACGTGTACAGATATTGAGAAATCATCGAGGTCCGGGACGCATCGTCCCCAGATCCTTGAATCCAAAGAGTGCATGGACCCACAGTCTTCTCCAAGGCTGTGAAATTCTCATGTGCCATGATCCAATCAAGAAAAGGCAAACTCGGTCCCATATTCTCCATGTGGACATTAGGCAATCTTGTAGGTGGTGTCATAGACAGAAGAGCGAATTGGCTTCGGTTGAGCTCATTGCTTGCTCTTAGACCTGAACAATTGTCAGACATAGCGGGACTTTCAGTAGAAACCGACTTACAGAAATCATATTGCGATCTGGATTTCCGTTTGAAAAGGTTCTGCCAACTGTAATCGATATCGGCGCCATGCTCGCCTCCGACGAGTCCTGCGTGATCCACAGTAGACATACGCCATCTATTTTTACATTCAAACGTGTTGAAGAGGCATGATGTGTATCGACTGAACGGCGATGCCCGTGCGACAGGAAGATTGATCTCCTCAGGAGAACTCTCAGTCCGGGCTGAAACATCGGCTCGAGATGTATCCAATCCGGTCGATGAGTTGACGTTGCCTTCTTTCTCAGCAACTGTCTCGCCATTAATATCAAGAGTAGCAGAGCTATCGTCACAATGATCGAGATTCTCGCCCATGTAATCATCCAATTGCTCATGATGGAATCTTCGTTTGAAGCCTTCGTTCTCTCCATTCTTTGTAGTTGTGGAGACCACAGAAGCACCTGGATCCTTTGCGACGGTTTCAAGCATGGCTTTTCCTATTGTTGATTGCAAAGGCGATGTTATTGCTTGGATCGAGCTTCGTTCCCTATCAGATTCAGACGATCCAACGTCTTGACTTGGTGCATTGGGCTGTTTTTCCGCGGTGTCTTCAAGATTTAGATCCTGAAGGCTATAGATGTTCAAGATTAGTGCCCGAGAAAGCAGTTTAAACCCCAAGAAACGGGAGTTAATATCCGCTACTTGTGCAGCAAGACTCTGGGGTTTTCTGATGAGGCCAAAGTCTGGGCCAGGTAAGGCCATCAAATTATACAATTCATCTTCAAGGTCTTCCATGGATTCAGTCTTCTGGGGGCAGCCGAGAAATATCTGCAGCACATTCGGATGAGCGATTGCAACGGGTGGGTGTGGCTGTCAGAAAGCCAGGATATACTTACAATTGTTGTAGAGAGTCTTGCGATCTGATCGAGAGCCCTGTTATACTCCCATTTTCCGGGATCATCCAAGTCTTCCATGGGAAAAGAACGAGTGGCTTCCATCAAAACCTTTTCCAGCCGTCAATAAGACGCGACTTTCTGACTGAGCTAATCGAAGGACCACTTACCTCCTTGACTATGCTACCTCCAATGTCATGGCAAACCCACACTATCGGTCGATTCATTTCCGCCCGTTCAATGAATTAGCTGGTATACTCAGAGGTTCTGATATCACACGTGATGCTTACATCTGGGAGGTGGCAGCGCTTTGCAGCGTAAAGATGCAATAAATTTCGGGCTTCAACTTCGACACCACCCATTTGAAAGACTCTTGAACGGTCCCTTGCCGCATAGACATAATCAAGCTGTCGGATGGCGAAGGTGTCGAATAATTCATGTCGCAACCAAAAAGACCCGTCCTTATCCCTCCACACACTGGCATGATCATCGCGAATTCCATGAACAGTGATCACACTGGTCATATGTCAGTGTTACGCAATGGAATGTCATTCTTGATAGAACATACTCGTATTCGGCGTCGTCAGAATATCGTGTGTTGAGACCCAATTCAAAACCTTCGTCTGCAACAGGCGTGACGGGGCGAGACAGTGGGAAAAGCCTCGTAGTATCTCTTGTTGATGACGAAGTTGTGGACTTGATGTCATCTTCTTTGTTGTCAGATTCCGATAGCATGCCCCGAATGCTACCAGTCTCTAACTCTGCTTCATTTAGTACACCCGCCATCTGGCCAGATGCTTCGTCGTGTAGGGGATGTGGCCAGTCTTGCGGCGAAACAGACGTGTTGCCGTTTATTCACACAACAATTTGAAGATCAGGATGGAAACAAACGTGCGAGGGCGACATCGATGATCGGGAGGGGTATGCTACCAATGTCTTCAGGCCTCTGGTACCTTGCCACAAAGTGTTCCGATGCTAGCACTGAACAAACCTTTTTGGGCAGATTATTTGCGAACGTCAGACATCCAAAAACAGGTACGAGGTCGTGACTTCTGTCTGGTCCTGAATACAAGATATCAAGTCAACCCACTAGCCACTTTTAGCGATGAATGCAGGCTCTATCAATAGTTCTATGCAAAGTCGACTTGGCAACGTAAGACGTTCCCGAATAGGCACGTAGCCCGGTTGCAGATAGGCAGTGCGAGCTGACCGCAGCCAACTCTTCCTCTGGATGTCTTTTGAGCCCGACCACATCCGATTTGTCGGGGTTTGCGCCACTACGATAAGTTCCTCTAGGAGCCTGGCATAGCCACATTATGACAACCAATGTATTCGAAATGGCTTATCATCTTCAACCCGAATGCTGCTCTCCAAAATGCGCCTGTGCGAGAGCCAGGGTGCCAGAACACCTACTTGCTAGACGTCGTCACTGCCACGGAACGAGGAGACTAGCATAAAACCAATCAATTGATAGATAGATTATTAGGTATGATCTTTTATAATCAGTAAACATGTACCTAATTGCCTTATTCATGCTTTCAAATATCTACTTTGTACTATGGGGGTCTGGAACGTTCCATACCCAATCCAACCTGAATCAATCCAATCCTTCTGCTCCTAATCATCCAGCATCATTTGGGAGAACTTTACGTCACCAAGCTTTTGTATATCAACACTTCCTAATTCTTCCATGTCGTAGTGCATGGGTCCGTGTCTGGTGTTCAATCCAGGCTTCAAGAAAATAGGGTCGTCTTCAGGGATCCGACTGAAGACATTTTCTAGCGATGTCCACATATCCGCCTTGCACTGCAATGAGGGCATACAAGTGAATACTTCCTCGTCACTCCTCTTGATCCGTACAGCCACGCGGATAGCAGCTGGAACACCTGTCTCGAACGTGCTGTTCTCTAACAGTGTCCACTTAGCAATGCGGTTTGGTGGCATATTATTCATAACAGTTTTGCCGCCGGTAATAGTCGTTGCATCAGCCGTCTCTCGGGTGATCGTTTTCTCCCACTTGATAGAAGTACTAGCTTCTACTACAGCACTGGCCCCTAGGCTTGTTTCAAAGCCCTTGGTGGTAGTCTCCGACTGTTTGCTAGGGCGGAAGCTGTAATTCCCGTCGAAAGAAATGGCCTCGACTTCTGGGACAGAGTTGGTGGTACTGGAGCCGTCGAAACGAAGCTCAATAGTGGCTCTGGAAATTCGTCGTGCTTTCTTTTGGGGATCAAACCGAAATTCAAATACCAAAATTGTTGACCAGTACTTGCTTTCCGCAGACATAGCTCCATGAACGGCGTCGATAAGTGTGCATCTGGTGGCAACTGCGCCTGCCCGCTGAATCACTTCCGGGCGTTGGTACGAATCTTCAGGATTGTTCTTGATGTGGAATCCGCTGCCTTCGCTACCGCGTTGAAACATGGGGATGTCCAACACTTGACCCCCATTGCCGTGGTCAAAGGACTCTGGCTCGGACATATTTTTGGAACAAGCCCCTAGCGTGGGCAAGAGTTTGGTGCTCAAGATACCGAATCGCTGACGGCGCTGCAAAGACTGAAGGTAATGCTTCCACATACTTTCCGCGACAGGAACCGAATAATAAATACCCAGCCGTCTAATAGAGAGGCACTCGTATTCGAAGGGGCTTCTCAAATGGCTCGACCGAGAATATCGGGCTGCGTACCGGACTCGGCTATGTACTTACCTAGATACTTACCAAAGTCAAGCAATCACCATGAAAGTCTAACAGAACGGGCCAGGACAACACGCCAGAAGGCTAAAAATAACTTGGCCAGGCACACGCTACAGCAGTTGGCGAACTGAACGATTCGTGGATTGAGATTTACCGTTCGGTCTGAATACTCGATTGGGATCGGCTGGGGAGAAGAAAACAGGAGACGGTTTCAATATTCTGCGCCTCGAGGGTGGGCGGTCACACCGGCTTACGTGCCATCTTGATTAGAATGGCATGTGCTGCATGTGCACCGGCTATACGAACAACATACGTGTACTTCATACCCGGACAAAATACTTTGCTCACGACAAGGCTACGGTACGTTGCAATTTACACAAACATTTGGGAGACCAGCTGAACTTTGTGTTTGCGGGGGCTGAGCCATTTTAAGCTGTGAGAAATTTGAGATTCATTCATGCAAAAAAGAAAAAGAAAAAGAAAAAAACCTGTTTGAGTCTCGCAATCGCTTCTCACTACGTGCTTTGACCAATAGTTATTCAACTCCCCATCGACATTCACTTTCAGTTCCCCTAACCTCTCTCACACTGTTGCAAAATGTCCAACCGTCAAGATAACTGGCAGTCCGACTCTGAAGAAGACGACGAAGATCACGATGAGGAGGAGGAAGATGACGATGAACAGGAGGGGGGGGGTGGGCCAAGATTCGCGAACAGCGGAAGAAGAACGCATCAGCCCATATGATAAGGCGAAAGCGATTGACTACATAAAGTCGAATTTCAAAGACGGCGCGACCGCAAACGATGAAGCAAGCGAAAATCTCATCAATATATTCTTGACCAGTTTTCCTCGAGTCGTTCAGGGCTTCTCGCATGGGAGAATGTCCATCCTACATACCATCATCAAGGAGATGAAGAACGACGAGGCGCGGGACCCACTACAAGCTTCAACGATCAGACCGCTATTTAACAGAATCGTCAAAGAGCATCCAGAGCTGTTGGCCGAAAAAGACATCAAAGGCAGAACCCCGCTGTATCGCGCCATACACTACCACAGAAGAGCCTCCGTCTTGGTAGACTGCATACTGGAGAACTGCGAGAACCAGCTTGTGAAGCAGCATGTTGATTTTGCACTTGAGCAGAAGTATGGAACCAGCGACAGCTGGAAAACATGCTTGACTTTGGCATTTGAGAACAACATGAATGCAAGTGTGCTGCAACGTCTAGTCAAGCATGCGAGCGAGACTGCTCTCAAGCTTCAGGATAGTTCTGGGAAAACACCGTTGCATTACGCTGTCAATTATGAGCATTGCACCGATCAAAGAGTCGGGATAATCGATCTTTTCCTGGAAAGGGACCAGGAGATTGTTCGGCTTCAGAAAACAAACAATCCTTGGCAGCCTATTAACACCTTTCTAGATATTACGTACAAGAGAAAGAAAGGTAAAACGGAAGAAATCGAGACTTCCGTCTACGGCGAGCTCGAGAGAACATTCAAGGAGCATCAGAAGCAGAACAAGTTAGGAAAGAGAGACGAAACGGGCATCAAAACAGCGGGCAGATCCTCTCGTGTCAATGGACATGGACCAGCGAAGACAGACCACAAGTTGAAGGCCCCAAAATCTTCCAAAGTGACAACCATTCAAGATGAGATTCCCGGCACAAACATGAAGAAGAATGGGGAGTCTGAAGTTCACCCGAAGAATGATGACACGCCCACCACCAAACTTGCGCGCGGTGACCCTACCCCAAAACAACTCAGACACCCAAAGGAGTGACTGGATGAAGCGGTGGGCGACAAGCCGAAGTCTCGAGTCACTACTAATGGTCCCGACCATGCACCTCTCATGCAGTTGAAAAAGGTCGGGACACAGGGACTTGACATTGAACACGAAGAGATGAAAGAGAAGAGCGCGGCCTGCTCGGAAGAAGCGTCCAACAGCCGACATCGTCACTCAGACAGCAATTACAAACGAGTTCAGACGATGCTAAAAATACACTATATGCGGGAAAGAACAGTCAAAATGGCAATCTCCTTTCTTTACGGGAAGAATGTTCGTAGAGGTAGGATAGCCAACGAGTGGCAATTCTCTGCTTTGCGCTGATCCAAAGGGTAACAGACAAACTCATTTGCTTCGAATATGAAGGCCCATTGTCTATTCGAGATGATCTGTTCAAGAAACGATTGGGGGAGAATCGTAAGAGTGGGGTTCGATTTGAAGACGTATTGATGTACGTCAGATTCCCAATATTGGTCACCGTTGAGCGTACCGGCAAATATGCCACAAATTCAGAACGGGGACGACAAGACATGAACTTCTTCTTCGACTGGTTATACGAGAAGGGTGTGCGATATATACTTAAAGTCGAGGTTGAAGACAGCGGCACAAGAGCGCATAGCGATGACGCAATACAGAAATCGCTTGGTCAAATTGTGGTCGAGCATTTGGACTGGCGAAAGCCCGACTTGGATCCTGGTGTCATTTGTCATATTGGCAGAATCGCTGAAAAGTCGAAGTCAAAAACCCTGGAAGAGCATTACATCGATGGAACCAGCAGTAGTATCCGTAGAGTATCGCTGAAATGGAGCGGCGGCAATGCTGTTTTGCGAGCCTGGGGCGAGCCGGATGGTTTACCTCAGCTGCTAGGGCTCACAGATGTCTTTCTCCATCTTCCGGCACCCACCGAGGTATGGCCCTTCTAGCTTGTAGTCTGGACATTCTTGCCTATCTAAGGTACGATCGTGTCTTGAAATGGACTGGTGCTGACTTGTAGGCATGAAGATGATCGAAACGACCAAGTGGGTAACGGCCAAAATCGCTGAATTCGAAGCACGCCTGAACAAGAACGCTCAAAACACTCGTAAGGCTAAGGATCCGGTTAACTCGGCATCGCAGAAGAGAAAGATTGAAGTCGTTGATTCTTGGAGTCAGAGTCAAAAGGGAAGCAGGATCCTCATGTCGTCCGGCGGCCCTTCCAAATCAACTGGGCAAACTAACCCGCACACTGAGCACCAGTGGCTTAATTGGGTCGATCGATTTGCCACATGCATGTATGAATTCTGGAACGAAACGGTGCAAAACTCGAGGGAGCAGAACTCGAAGGAGCAAAATTCGAAGGAGAAAACCTCGAGGGATGTTGGTAGCCATGGTTTATCCGACCTTGATGGCTTGAGCAAGCCTGTGATTGTTGCGTTGATCGACGATGGCGTCAACGTTTTTGACCCTGAGTTCTCGGGCCGTTCAATTGATGGAAAGACCTTCGACCTTCAAGATAATTGGGTCGGACAGTATTACAGTTCATCTCAGGGCCACGGCACCGAGATGGCAAGACTGATCTGGAGAGTGTGCCCAATGGCCAGCATATACTCAATTCGGCTCAAGACTCATCCCGGCCAAGGAAAAGAGCATTCCACAATAAATGCAGCTTCTGCAGCATCGGCAAGTACTATCCATCAAGACACGTGTGGCACATATACTTATGCTCCTACTTGTGCAGGCCATTGAAGCCGCACTTGAAAGGCAAGCTTCCATCATCTCCATGTCATGGACTATATCAGAGCCAAAGAACGACAAAGAGAAAGACTATTTGAAAAGGGTACTGGAAAGAGCATGCAAAGATGAAGTAGTCATGTTCTGTTCGTCGTCAGATGATATTTCAGAAGACCGCCATTATCCATCCGCCTTCAACCCAGAAAGTTTCCTACGCATCGGTGCTGCACACAGTGATGGAACTTCCTGGGGCCAGGCTGGAACAAACGTTGATTTCATCTTTCCTGGAGTCAATGTCATTACAAGTCGTGGAACCAACAGACCGAAATACTTTACTGACGATACCTTGTTAAACAAAGAATCAACTGGGTCCAGCATCGCCACCGCTCTGGCTGCCGGTCTAGCCACCATGATAATATATTGCTTCAAGGCAAGCTTACTGGCTACTGCCACAACAAGAGCAGAGAAGAAGGAAAACCGCACTACCAGGTATGACTCTGTACGTCCCGAGCATCTTGCGAAGATTGTCCAGCGCGCCCAACTCGAGCGGGCTTTCGAAAAGATGGGCTTAATGCCAAAGTCGCGATACATCACAGTTTGGAAAAGATTCAAACCAGTGTGTGAAGTGTTCGATGGAGAAGAGGGACAAGTTGATTATATGGATAAACTCCAGAGCATCACAGACATGTGCTCGGAACTCGTTGAGCGGCAGAAAGCAAACCCATGATCAAGGCTACTTGCCTACTAGGAATCAAAAGGCCACCCTTGTATCTTGTACCAGATTGAAAAGTCTTTCTCACTTCACCCTTAATTTCGAACCCAATTAGCTCTTTAGCATATAACAGTTTCTAGTTTTTGATACGACCTAAGATTATGGAGCCCTTGAGAATCAATTGGCTTATTTTCTAGCCTCAAAATGGAGACAAAGAGCATCCGCTATGTAGTTTCAGCTCAGGCTTCTATTCCCGCAAACATCCAGTCTGCGCATTCTAAGTATATCTGGACGGGATAGATCACTGAAGATGATGCCATAAGCGAACACATCATAGGTGGATGCATTCTATACAATATAGAATCACACATGTATCGCTTGCATACTAGATAGATAAGTACTAGAAACGAGCTATCGACAACCTAAGTTTCAAAACACCGCTCATTCTGTCTTATATCTGCCCTTTTCCGCTTTCAGCCCACTGAGTATGGGCTGAAATGCTAAGTTACTTCATAAATCGCGCACTCTGGCACTTTGATTCATATTGAGCCGCCGACAAAAACAGGTCTTGGTCTATGACGAATTCAGCAGACCATATTTGATGTCCCAGAAGTCCAGTCAAGAGGCATCGAGAAGCACAGTTTCATTTGCCTGTCAGTTAATAAGCATCTTTGATGTATTTTATGGACATCAGATGCAAGAAGAAAAGAGGAGGGGGGATGGTTAGGTGAACAGATGCTCTGTTTTCGCTGGGCCTAGTCCGTTGTAGAGGAGACAACGATGAGACTCATACCGCATTCGCAATGGTAATGAGAATGATTCGAATCAATCTCTGCCTCAAATGACATCACTTGGTTCGTGGCAGAAAATTTGCTTCACGTTCTTTCGGCCAATCTATATCCAGCAACCAGCGTCGCGATAACTAGAACACTGCAGTGCCCCCACTGGCGAATGCCTGCACTCGGATATATCGAGAGAAAACAGCCCGAGCTCGACGTCGGGCACCAATTGCCAGGGGAAACTTGAACTCCATCTATCAATATCGCCGCAATCTCATAGGCTTGTTATCCAGTAGAGGCCTAGGGGCGGTCGTTGAGAACCTCCAGGTTAGGATTAAGCTGTGCCCTCGCCATCCGGCTGCTCTACCGCCGTCCTATGATTCACCCACTACACAACAAGGACATGAACCACATATTCTGGGTAGGCTCAGTGAGATCTCATCAAGATCGATTCTGCGATGGGGAATGTTCTCTACCATCCAAAAGGCCAGATTCGACTACGCCACCTTGAAACATGAAGCATTATCGGTAGTGCGGGCGCAAAGAGGTCATTTGGGCTGGCGTTGTAGATCCCAACCCGCTTGCGTGGACTTTTTATATCTTTCCTGCTAGAATAGTTTGTCATTTCATCAGAAACCGCTAGCTGTAGATACCACTTGACGCGCCCGCCTTCCTGCTTCCAAAAACACCGACACAGCTCCTGTACCTCAAGCCCGTCTTCTCAGCAATGTATAATAACACCAATCCCTCGAAATATTTCAGACCATCAAATCTTGCTAGTCGAAACGTAGCATGTTGCGATTTGGGAAACTGCACAGGTTGTTGATCTAGTGTCACTGCACGCCAGTCTACGGAGGCGCTCAGCGCGAGCCAGAACGCATATCTCGCATACTTCCAAGTTTCATCCACGACTTATTCATTCGGAATAACCATCAGAGAGTTATACATACCCGAGCGTGTGGGGTATGAAATCAAAGAGGCGCTACGTACCACTTCTTACCCATCGGTATGCCCACTTCGTGTTGGTAGGCCGGGCGCGCACTTCTTAAGGAACAGTTGGCCTCAAAATAAGGCCCCTTGCAACAGCGTCTTCCAGTAGCAAACATTGCTTGGAGATCTCTGCTATCGTTTCCTTGAGCCTTAAATAGAAAATCCAATACTGAGATGAGATCCACTGCTAGAGAGGAAAACAGGAACGCCAAGTCCCCAGACCTCAACACCTTGGAGGTTGAGCTAGACGACACTATACCGAAGACACGAGACACAAAGTGTGACTGAATCTGATGCCCAGGGTACATAATGGATGAACAAGTCGTATTTAGTATTGCACCAGACAATGGGGGTCTTCAAAGACAAGTAAAACAGAGACGTGCCGCTTATCCCGAGCCCTCCTGACACCACCTCGCTCCCCAAGAAACGTCTCCCTCCTTTCAGGGCCAAAGCTGACTATTTCTCGCTTATTGCCATTGAATCATCGAAGAACAGCCAACGATGACAGCGCTCGGGCGGCGAGTTGAAGCATTAATGACTACTCAGACAGTGTCCCATGTCCCAGTCAACAGCTCGCGTCTCGTTAACTGTAATGCTCATCGTCTCGAATCCGCAGAGCAAATATCGAATCGATTTGGCGCCTGAAAATCCTTCCGGTCTCTAAGAAAGCCTACTTATAGTTATGAAAGACGCCGCTCAGGAACACGTCGACAGGCGCAACGACACAAGCCACACACACCCTCCTCGAGAAGAAATCTCTAAAAGCAGAGTTAAATTCTATGCAAACTCATCCCACTACTCAAAAC